GGGACTACTTTTACACCCCACCCACTCTCGACAGGCCCCGTTTGTCCACCAAGTTAATCTTTTGTTTTAGAGCACACCGCAGTTTTTCCTCTGCCAACAATTTTCCATTACTGTAAAAAAAAAGTTAAAATAAGTTGCAGCGTCCCCTGCTTTTTAAAAAAAGATTGAAGCACCATAATATTTAATTTTCATGATGTCAGATTTATCTTTTTTTTTTTCTTGTTGCTTGTGTTTTTGGTGTCCTATCTAAGAAACTGTTGTGTAATCTAAGGTCACAAAGGGTACATCGTGTTTACTTCAGAGAGTTATATTTTTAGCCTTATATTTAATTATTTGATCTATTTGAATTAATTTTATATATGATGTGAGATGTGTATTTTTAATTTTAGTATTTCTTAATATTGCTGTTGCCTTAACATTTTCCTTATATGAAAATTTTCCAAAATGTACACAAGTTGAGAGAAAAATATGATGAACTAACCTGGGATTCAACATTTATCCAGATAGTGCTTTAAGCTTTTAGTTTCTAAACTTTCCCCTGTGCTTCATCCTGTTTCATTAAGTGTTAGAGACATTAAGCAACGTCAAGGCCAGTCACAGTTACACCTATAAATTTCTGGATTTCCAAAGACTTGTATTGTCCTGCCTTTTGTTGGTGGTACCATGAGTTTCTCACCTATTGTTTAATGAGGACTTTTTTTACTCTTTTGTATTATGCCACTCAAATTTGTAATTCATTGGTTTTGGGAAAGTTCTTTGCACATAATAGAAACTGACTAAATGCTTTCTAAATTAAATTGACATAAACTTCTTCAGCCTTGGTGGTATCATGTGTAATTAAGACTGGATTGGATTGCTTCTGAAATGTTTTCTAGGTCTGCAATTCTGTTATTCTCTAATAAAAGCTACATTTCCGGTCTTACTATGTGCCAGGCACTTAAGCTAAGTATTTTCCAAATATTACCTCATTTGAATATTCACAATAATCTGCTGAGGCAAAATCTTCATTTTATAGATGAAGCAACTGAGAGCTTAAGATGTTAAAGGTCACTCAGCCAGTCAGGTGAGGAGTAAGGATTTGAACCCAATCAGTGAGACTCCACAGCCTCTGTTCTTATCCACTGCACAATGATTCAAAATCCAGGAGGCTCTGCCTCTGTGGTATACCTTTCAATAGTCCCCTTCTATTCTTTCTGCTCATTTATATCTTTATTATATCTCATCCTGAATGATTACGATAAATTCCTAACTTGTGCCACTTACAGCCTTTCCCAGTCCAAGTGCAACCTTAATCTATTACTCCCCTGTTCAGAATTTTCAGTAGCTCCCATTGCGTATAAATACATATTTCTTGATTTGGCATTTAAGAGCCTCTGCAGAGTGACACCAGCCTCTCTGTGTAGTGCGTTAATTCCCATTGCATACGCTACTTTCCAAGAAAAATAGATAACTCACCGTTCCCTGAATATTCCAGTATCATCCCATGTCTGTCTTTGCACTTACTGTTACCCACCAATGTCACCTTGTTAAAATTCAGTCCCCTTTTACGTATGGCTTGGATGTCATACTTTGGCCTCAATCCCCTCTGTAAAACAAATAAGTTTACCTTTCTCTGTTTTGAATTTTGATCCTTTGTCTTAAAAGTTAATTGGTTTGGGGTCCCTGGGTGGCTCAGTCAGTTAAGCATCCAACTTCAGCTCAGGTTATGATCTCGCAGCTCATGAATTTGAGCCCCGTGTCAGGCTCTGTGCTGACAGCCTACTTTGGATTCTGTGTCTCTCTTTTTCTGCTCTCCCCTGCTCTGCTCGTACTCTGTCTTTGTCTCTGTCAAAAATAAACATTAAAAAAAAAGTTAATTAACTTCTGCCCCTTCCCTCATCATCTGTTCTCAAGGACAGAGCCTGTGTCTCACTCATCTTTATATTTCCTGCAGCACCAAACATAGGATATAATAGACAAACCTTTGTTGATATAATGAAATTGAATTAAGTTGGATTTTATAGATCAGTAAACAGAGGCCACAAAAATAATTTTATGTGACTGCAAATCACGTTTTTCTTTTGACCTACCAAGTATCTATACGGAGTATTGTCATGCTGGTTTCCATTTGTGGCATAAGTGCATACTGTGGGGCCACTAGTGATATTACAATTCTGCAACAGATGATCCATAATTAGAATTTAGTTTGGCACCTTATCAGAAACCCTTTCTCAAGTGCTGAAGTCTGGGTTAGACCCCCTCCTTTATGCCTCCATGGCACTGTCATATCACATGTTTTAATCGTGTACGTGTCCATCTTTCCCACCACGCTGAGCCACTTGAGGCCTAGAATCCTGTTTTATTCATCCTTGTGTTCCCAACAAGTAGCACAGTATCTGGTGCATAATAAGTGTTAAATGTTGAAAGCATGAAAGAGGCATAGAATCCCACCAGACCTTAATGGCTTCCATGACTAGGGAAGAAGTTTCAAGAGCCTTCTCTCTTTTATGATTATGATTTTTTCATTTCTGTTTTCTTACTAAGAATCAACAATTTCTACCTCAATTTGCAGGCATTGCCACTAACAAATGGAGTCTCGGTATCTAGCAATGGAGGCAAAGGTTATGAGATCCACCAAGCTTGGCTACTGTCTCTCATTGGTAGCTTTCTTGTTGGGAGTTCTATGACTTAACTTTCTGCTTTTGAAATGATGTGAAAAGGACCATTGTTTCCATAAAACAGAGGTTACAAAGATGTTTTGTTTGACCTGCATGGTGTTCTTAAAAAATGTTTACTTGGGATAAACATTTCAAGAGACTTCAAACTTTTAAGAGTTCTTATTTCTGACTTTGAAAAAAATGGAGGCTCTACTAGCCATGCTAGATTACCCACCGTGTGTGGAGTAATGGCTGCCACCTTGAAGACAAAAAGTGGTCACCCCAATTTTCTCCAAAACTCTCCTTACTTGGGTTTATATTTAATTAACCAGTTCCTTAAACAATCATCGATTTCTAGAATTAATTGTACACATTCAAATCATAAACTCTTTGGGGCACCAGTCATACTTCTTTTCACGCTGACTTTTTTAGACAAAGTTCACAAGTACTTATTAATTGATATTGTCTATTCTAACTGTTCTTTTGTATAATCCCTTTACTTCACAACTGAAATAAAACTTAGTAGGCAGAGATTAAGTAGCTGTTTAAGAGTTTCTCTATGAGTATTTAAAAACATTTATCATTTCTGTTGCTGTTTTGTAGATCTAAATCAACAAGATGAAAAGCAGTTACAAGAACTTGCATTGGAAGAGAGACAAACCATGGTTCAAAAAATCAATATGTTATACAGTGAGGTATGTTTTAGGTGGCAGACTACTCAATTTTGTTAATATAAAAGAATATTGTTTTGCTAGGATATATTGTGCTCAAAGTACTTTCCAACACCAGTTTATTAAGCCTTCTTTTATAATAAATGATTAAGCTGGGTTTAATACTGTAATCTGCTACAGATTGAATAATGAGATTGAAGCCATTGGGATGCCAAAGAATAAAATATCACCTTTCCCCCTCCTCCAAGAGCAACCATATTCCAAAGCTATTAACTTGCCAGGCAAGGAGACAGATGTTGGTAAAGAAATTTAGTTCACCAAGAGGAAGAGTCAACAGTTTTTAAGCCTTAGAAAAGGGGGAGGTATTCGCAGTGATTGTGTTAATTAAGGATTGAAAATTTGCTTTCTGGACAGAATGGGATGAATCAAAGGGTGTAGACACAGTTGGTTCACACAAGTCTTTAGCTCCTTGTAGTTCAACGGATGATTTGTTTAAAGGACAGCGAGAAACACTGCTGTCTGTATACTGTCTTTGCTTCTGTCCTATTTGCCATCTTCCTGCAATCAGTCTCCCTATTCTGGGATCCATAGTGGGGCTTGTTGAGAGGAATGAGGTGGAGTTACTGGTTACTGTGATTTAACCAGCAAGTCAACCAGAAGTAGGGTGTCACTCTTGGTCTGATATTCTCTCCCATAAACTATCATTTCTAGCAGAGACGGCGTATTTCAAAAATTAGCAGTAGAGAGAGTCATGACACGTAGGAACTTTTAGTTTGATTTGCAAGACCTTTTAGTAATAAATAAAAAATAAAACTGCTTCCTTTTTCTTCTTTAGAGGGAAGCTAGTTACTTTCTTTATTAGGAAGCCCCTTGTTTTCTTTTCACAGCTCAAACTATTTGGGCCTTATCCTGGGGGACCTCAGTACATTCTTTAAGCAGAGCAGCTCTCCTGAGAACACAGGGCATGACCTGGGGCCTGCTGTCCTCTATGGCAGGAGAGAATAGTCATATGGAAGGAGTCCTTATTTTCAGCAAGTGAAGACTTTCAAAGTTTTACTTCATTCATTAGATGAAAGAAGCTACTGTTCAGAACTAATAAGAGGCAAAATCTGAAAAAATTGAACGGAACACTCTGGACTTTGATCTACACTTGGACATTTTAGAAAATTAAGATTGTCTGATAGCATTGTGGAGAATACCCTGACAAGTAGCTCCATTGTTAGCATGAACTGATCACTTATTTTAGGTCCAGTCCACTTATAGCATTTAATGACTAGACCTTGTTGGGATGCTATATGATTGTGTTATTGATTTTTTAATGTTTGGAGGTCTTTTATCTAAAATCAAGCAATAGTATACCATAGAAAATATACACACAAATGCTGATTTTTTCCCCCTTTTTCAGCTTTTCCAGAGTCTAGTGCCAAAGGAGAAATATGACAAAAATGACGTTCTTTTAGAGGTGACATCTGGAAGAACTACTGGAGGTCAGTTAAATAATTTTATTATAAATGATCCAAGAAAAAAATACTTAAATTTTACCTTGGTTTGACACACTTTAACTTTAAAAGTCCATTAAATGTGTTTCACTGTGGAACCAGTTACTCATTTCCTAAGAGGCCTGTACCTAAGAATGGCTCTCTTAAAAATTTGTGCTGAATATTTTTTGTATATATATATTTTTTAGGTGATATCTGCCAGCAGTTTACCCGGGAAATATTTGATATGTACCAGAATTATTCAAGCTATAAAAACTGGAAATTTGAACTTCTGAATTATACACCAGCTGATTACGGTAGGCATATTTGAGGATTTTGTCCATAGATGATGCTAAAAATTATTTTACGTCTGATCTCCATTAGAACCATGTGGGCCCATTTTTTATTTAAATTTTTCTTTTTTATTTTGAAAGAGAGAGAGAGTGCACGCATGCACAAGTGGGGGAGGGGCAGCGAGAAGTGGGGAGAGAGAATCTCAAGCAAGCTCCGTTCCGGGAGCACAGAGTCCAACACGGCTCGAGCCTATAAACCATGGGCTCATGACCTGAGGTGAAATCAAGAGTCTGATGGGCTTTTAACCAACTGAGCCACCCAAGTGCCCCTCCCATTTTTTAAAACATTTTATCTGTATCTACTAAATGCTGTGATACAGGCTCATCATTCTCAGCGGCTTTACCCTAATAGGGGTCTTAACCAGGAGTGGGATGTAGTGAAGGAAGGAATGTCTGAATTAGAGAAAACTTCTCTGGGAAGGATAGATATACCTTGCCTTGAAACTCATTGTTCTCTATTCAAAGAAAGATGTGTTAAGGTTTTGATGTTAAGAACTTTATCATTTATGGGATACAACCTGAAAGTATTATCAGTTAGACTGAGTGGCTAATGATGTATTAGATTCTTTTTTAACCTCTTTAATTTTTATAATCTGAAAGGTTAAATATTCATAACAAAATAGTCTTTCCAAAAATCTGGTCTGCCAGTGGTTCAGCCTTATGCTTCTCTGCCAAATCCATTGAAATCGTTCTTCATAAAGGATTTTAACTTTCTGAGCTTTCTTCAAGCTCTCTTTTGAACATATTCCATCTACCTTATATTCTTATTATCATAATGTTGAAGTTAAAAAAAGAATCTTCTCCCTATTTCATATTATCTCAAAAACTTTTCTCACATTTTTATTCTCTCAACTTCTCTCTTCATTTCACTGCCCTTAGTAGCATTTTCTCTACCTTCCCTCAGCACCATGTGTGAGTTTCCTGACTTTGCATCTATTCTCTTTTTTTTATGTGTTCAATTTTTATGGAAATGCAGAAAAAGTTAATCATTTGTCTTTATTTTTAAGACACCACTCTAGTTGGGCAGATAAAAACTTATACAATGTAAACAATAGCAAACAATACAAGTCCTTAAACTTTTAAATACTCAATTATGTTAAATCAGAACATCTGGTAGTAATTCTTTTTTTTTTCCCCATTCTTTTAAGCCATATGAAAGTTTTTATCTTCTTGGTTATACATTGATACCCAATAATGAACTGCAAACTCTCAGGAAAAAGGAAGAAGGATTGAAGTAAGTTAAACAGTGGAGGAAAATGTATGAATAAGAAAGTTGTGCTTGGTACAGGTTTTCAATACAGCCAGTGGTCAGGAAAGAGGAATTGAAAGCAGAGGGAAGGAGCCACCAGAGCAACAATGTGGTGGTAGGAAAGATCTTGGTGTGTGTGAAGGACAATGAGGACCCCAGTTTACCCAGAGCACATTTGTGATAGGAGGTCATAGGAAATGAGTTTAAGGGAGTAGAGTTTGAACAGCCTTGAAAGCTGAACAGGCCTTGATTGTTGGGGAGTAGAGAGCTGTTGGAGATTTTATCAATAAGCATATGACTTGATAAATACATATTTTAAGATTATTTAGACAGCAATTTGCAGGATGGATCAAGAAGCTAGATTTAAGCAGACTGCAGAGAGGTTATTAGAGAAATCCAGGTATAACTAAGATTTACACTTGGCAGTAGACACATGGGAGATCGTCAAAGGAAGAATGGACAAAAGAGGGCCTAGTGCTTGCCCCCATGTCCAGGTGCAGTGTAGGTGGTTTGATCTTCATAGCCCTGTGAGATAGATATTATTAATCCCATTTTACAGATGAGGAGTTAGGCTCAGAGAGTAAGTACCTAATCCAAGATCACATGGTAAGTAATGGCAGTCCCAGGATTAAACTTAAGTTTGTCAGATCCAGAATCATACATCCCCATCCTCATAGTCTATTCTGACACAAACAAGATGAGCCACCGGGATTCTAATCTTTCTAGCTGGGAAGACTACAACATTCATTCAAGATGGAACGCAGAGTGAATTATTAAATCTCTGGTTATAGTGAACACCCATTCAGAAATATGCACTAAATGCTGAAGTTGTGTAGCCAGAGCTTGGGTGAGAGAACAGCATCAAGGAGAAAGATTCAATAGCCACATCTAACACTGAGAGAATACGTGAGGGAGAGTCTATGGAGAGGGAACATGTAAGGCATCAGAACTTAGAGAACGGCCACATTTAGAAAGATTAACTAGTTGGCAAAAGAAAGAGAGGAGTCAGATAAGCAGAAAAAGGATGAGGACTGTGTAATAGTATGTTTAGAAAGTAATATCTATTCCCAACATGGGACTTGAACTCATGACCCCAAGATCAAGAGTCACATGCCCTACCGACTGAGCCAGCCAGGCGCCCCAAGGACAATATAATATTATGGAAGCAAGAGAGGAGAGAGTTTAAAGGAGAATATAATCAGAAATAGCAGCATTATGGGGCACCTGGCTGACTTGGTTGGTGGAGCATGCTACTCTTGATCTCAGGGTTACAGGTTCAAGCCCCACGTTGGGTATAGAGATTACTTAAAAAAATAAAATTTTTAGAAACAGCATTATAAAAGGGAATAGTGGTAAATGTCATCATGACCTCTCAGATGTATATTTTGAATCCAGTTTTCAAGAACAAAAGATGAACTCAATAACAACAGGGAAAGAGATTCTGTTCCAGGAATGTAGAGCAGCCTAAACAATTCCTAGACAATGTTTGGGAAACCTTTCTTTTATAGATAGACTGACTTACTGGAAAAATAAAATAGAGATACCTTAAAAAGTAAAAAAGGCTTTTTTTTTAAGTTATTTATTTTGAGAGAGAGAGAGCGTTCGTGCAAGCAGGGGAGGGGCAGAGAGAGAGGGAGAGAGAGAATCCCAAGCGCAGAGTCCAATGGCGGGCTTACAGACTGTGAGATTGTGATCTAAGCCGAAATCAAGAGTCAGACCCTTAACCAACTGAGCCTCTCAGGCACTCCAAAAAGGACTTTTTTTTAAAGGAGGAAAAATTTAAATATCTTACTCTATACCTTTAAAATTAAAGACTAAGTGGAGTGCCTGGGTGGCTCAGCTGGTTAAGCGTCCGACTTCGGCTCAGGTCATGATCTCACGGTTAGTGGATTCAAGCCCTGCATCGGACTCTGTGCTGACAGCTCAGAGCCTGGAGCCTACTTCAGATTCTGTGTCTCCTTCTCTGTCTGCCCCTCCCCTGCTTGTGCTCTGTCTCTCTTTCTCTCAAAACTAAATAAACGTTAAAAAAAATTTTTTTTAATTAAAGACTAAGAATAAACCTCTACTTATTATAATTATAAAATACTTAAAAGTTGATTTATTTATAATTAGGAGAAGAAAAGATGTGACTAGGAAGGCTAAAATAGAGGGGTAAAAAGTACCTACCTTATAAACTATGTATGTTAAATTCTCTCTATATATTTTAATATTTAATTGAAATGGAGAGGAACTCCAAAGATTCACACAGCCCTAAAAGCTAAGGTTGAAAGAAAACATACTTTCATGCAAAAATTCATGTATCGAGTGACTTAAAGTCTTGTAGTTTTGTGACCGTAGGTACAGATAGAGGATAATACTCAGTCATTCCATAAATAGTCCAAACTAAATGATTAAAGATAGTTTTTGTGGAAGCAGTAGAGGGCAAGAGCTCTGGATATGTAGTATAAGTCTGAACTCTGTTATTCTGTATACTGGGTATCTGATAAATTGAAATATATTCCAAGTTAAAGGGATTCTATGAAGTGTATTACATTATCTCCTCCCTCCCAACAGTTTAATGTTTATAATTATGTTTTGCTATACTCTGCTTGCCAGTTAAATTCAGGGAAAGGTCGCTTAACGTAATGTGATGATTCATTTTATGTGTCCAGAAGACATACTTTTTACCACAGATGTGAGAAATAAATTTGTAAGGGGAGCCCTGGCATCCTTGAAGAGCTCTATGATTGCTCTTCTCTGTCGGCCAGACCTTAGAGTGGGGACTTTGGTAGCTCAATTGGGAAACCTAAATGCAATGGGAGTAATTGGATTTCAGGGTGGCAGGGGGCAAGTGGCAGCACTCAGCAGCAGAGGCAAGGTGGGTACAGTTGCTGTCATGGACAGTAGAGTCAAAGCAGCAGTCAGTAGTCTGATGCATATAGACCTATGGCATTGGCTAGTTGACCATGGCGTCTCTAGAGGGAAAATAGATAGGAAGCCCCGTAAATTCTTACTTGATCTGTATAAGCAGAAAAGTGTTAGGTCAAGTGAACAGAAATCTAACTTTAATCATAAAAACAAGTCATGGCTCCTCAATCAGTTCTCAGACCTGAGCCGGTTTACAGGCCCAAACCCCTTGAATAAAGGGGACGCTGGGTCCCCTTGAGGAAGGACCCCAGTATATTGCCAAATATTTATACTCTTCACTCTTCTCTCAGCATTCTCCCAAAAGGGGTCTGTGGCCTTTTCCAAGGGTAACTGTGTCCTGCAGAAAAGGAAATAACCAGACTTTTCAGGGACTACTGGACACTGGCTCTGAAATGACACTGATTCCAGGAGACCCAAAACATCACTGTGGCCCAGCACTTAGAAGAGAGGCTTGTGGAGGACAGGTGAAGAATAGTTTTAGTACAGGTTCCTCTCACAGTGGGCCTGGTGGGTTCCCAAACCCATCCTGCAATGGTTTCCCAGTTCTGGATACATAGCTGGAACAGATATACTCAGCAGCTGGCAGAATCCCATATTATTTTCCTTGACCTGTGGGGTGAGGACTAGATGATGAGAAAGGCCAAGTAGGAGCCATCAGCATTGCCTCTGCCTAGGAAAATAGTAAACCAAAAGCAATGCTGCATTCCTAAAGAGATTGCAGAGATTAGTGCCACCATCAAGGACTTAAAAGATGCACAGTTGATGATTCCTACCGCATCCCTTTTCAACTTGTTTATTTGACCTATAAAGAAGGTAGATCAGATCCCAGTGAATGACAGTGGATTATTATAAGCTTAGCCAGCTGGTGATTCTAATGACAGCAGCTGTACCAGATGTGGTTTCATTGCTTGAGCAAATTCACAGCCCCTGATACCTGGTATGTAGCTGTTGATCTGACAAATACTTTTTTTTCTCCACACCTGCCAGTTAGGACCACCAAAAGCAGTTTTCTTTCAGCTGGCAAGGCCAGCAGTGCACCTCACTCTCCTACCTCAGAGGTATATCATTTCTGCCCTACATCATAATTTAGTTCACAGGATCTTTGTTTGTTCTTGAGAGAGAGAGAGAGAGAGAGAGAGAGAATGAGCAAGCAGGGAAGGGGCAGAGAGAGAGGGAGACCCAGAATCTGAAGCAGGCTCCAGGCTCTGAGCTGTCATGACAGCACAGAGCCCAACACGGGGCTCAAACCCATGGACTGCGAGATTGTGACCTGAGCTGAAGTCGGCCGCTTAACTGAGCCACCCAGGTGCCCCAGTTCACAGGGATCATCATTCTCTTCCACATGATATCAGACTGGCCCAGGAGAGCCAATGATACACTCTCAGTAACTGAACTACTGATACTTATTGATGGCTAAATGTCAATACTGCTAAATGCTCTACAAGTGTTTATCTCAGTTATTCCTCACAACAACCCTTGGAGGTTGGTTGAATTCAGCACTATATCATATGCTTACTTATGCCTTGAAGCACTACTCACATAGTCTGCAATGTGAATGGCTTTCCATACTGTAGCCCTAGTTATAATTACCATTTACAAGTAAGGAAACCAGAGCATGAACAAATGAAATAACTTGCCTGTGGACACGCACTAGGAAGAGGAAAAGCTTAAATTTGAACCCAGGCAGCCTAAGATTGGCTCTAGTAATCTGTACAGTAAAGTTGCAGCCTTCTCCTTTCAGGTCATATAAATTCAAATATGTGCCCTCAACATGAAGTAGGTAAGGGGGGGGGGTGAGGGGAATAATATTAAAAGTACAGAGTGAGTATGAGATGGAAAATTTAATTGTTGTGGCCTCACTCTGTCTCAGTTTCTAGGTATCTTTCATAATATGAGCATCTGACTACACTGAGTATTAATGATAAACAATTACATTTTTCATATCATCTGACTGCTAAATGCTAGTCAGCTTCTTTATCTGGTATTCAAGAAGATAAACAGTAATTTGTTCCATCACTGGAGGAAGACCAGCTGTGTTGGACTTACTAAGAGACAGTGTGTCAGGGGCGCCTGGCTGGTTCAGTCAGTGGAACGTGCGACTCTTGATCTTGGGGTTGTGAGTTTGAGCCCCATGTTAGATGTAGAGATAACTTAAAAATAAAATCTTAAGGGGCGCCTGGGTGGCGCAGTCGGTTAAGCGTCCGACTTCAGCCAGGTCACGATCTCGCAGTCTGTGAGTTCGAGCCCCGCATCAGGCTCTGGGCTGATGGCTCAGGGCCTGGAGCCTGTTTCCGATTCTGTGTCTTCCGCTCTCTCTGCCCCTCCCCCGTTCGTGCTCTGTCTCTCTCTGTCCCAAAAATAAAAAAAAATTAAAAAAAAAAAGTTGAAAAAAAAAATAAAATCTTAAAAAGAGAGGGTATGTTAGTCTCTGATAAGTTACTTTCCTAAGTCGTTTTCTAGGGTAATCTAAAATTATGGCCAATTTTTGTCCACCATGCTGACTTTAGAAACCAAGTGGTTAGATCTGATGTCAGAGCACTGAGTCTTCACTAGAAACATCTTAGGAACATGGCAGCAGCAGTGGCAGCATAGTTAACCCAGGGGAAGGAAGTTTGAGTTAAGGATTTTATAAGCAGCAAAACTGACTTATGAGTATAAGTATACAAACTTCTCAATATGCAGGGATTCAAGAAGTCCTTTTCCCATGTTCCCTTTCTGAGGAATCTACTAGAAGATAAAAGTTTAGACAACTAAAATATGAAGTATCAACATAAGGAGTAGAGGTGAGCATGCATGTGGTTACCTGCAGAACTAGGTCTATTTGAGGACTAAGGAAAATAATACAGTGTTTTAGAACTGTATCTGACAGTATAGAATACAATCATTTGAAAAATGGGAGAACAGGAAGAGCAACTTTTAATGTTTTTAGTAATCATGTTGTGGCAGAACTAGCATAGTTATTCTAGACTGTTGTATGTGTACTATGAGATAAAATAGATGAATAATTATGAGATATTGTAGTATCTTCCCTGTCCTTAAGAACCAAGATTCTTGGAATGGAAGACAAGAGCAATAGAGAAGAGGCTGTCATCTTGAATTTACCCTGGAAGTATTAATTGTCAAGAACTGCAAATGGTCTGAGATTTTGCCCTACTTGCAAGCTAACAAGTTAGCACGCCACAGTTTTGTGGGTCAGAGACAGAGGACAGGTTATTGCTCACAATAGCAGTAAGCAGAATATCACCATTTTTGTTTTGGTTCAATGAGCCCCAGGTCCTATAAGGCAACTCGAAGCCAGATAACTGCCTATGCAGTAGGTTTCATTATATGAGAGGAACTCTGAGCTTAGCGATCTCAAAATTTTTAAGTAAGCATGCTTGCCCATTGCTCTAACAAGGAGACGCTACCTTTACCTTCCAAGGCCATAAGCAAACTTGTCCTTTGCTCTGGAGGGAGATGCACCTCCAAAGCTGTTTCCTATGCAAACACTCTTAAAAATATTTTCTGGAACGAGAGGACAGGCAGTGCCTTATTTGCAAGATGTGCAGAAATGCAAGAAACCGATACAGAGTTGTCTCCCAACATCGGTATGAACTCGACGTATTTCCTGTCTCTGTCTACGCAAAGACCTGGAATCAATGACCTACCCAGTAATAGTGAACATTCCTATTGCCCAAATATTAAAAATATTGAAGTATTATTTCTCTCTGAAAGGAATGAAGGCTTCTTGGAGAGATCACTGATTCCAGGTTTTGGGGAGGAAAAGTTCAGGATAATCCTGGGAAATTTTGTTATACCATAGTAAGAACTCTGTTATACTCTACAAGAACTCAGAAATTACCTTGAAAAAGCACCTGCTGGACAAAGATGGACAAGTTGAGCTTCATTGATAATAGTTGCAATTGATTTAAACATGATAGATATACTCAAATCCTGGATTTATAGTGGTATTTTAAAAATAGTATCTTCATATGATTAAAATGACCCTACTTCATTATAGTGTCAGAGTGTAGCCTGATGCAGGGCTCAAACCCAAAACTGTGAGACCATGACCTGAGCCAAAACCAAGAGTCAGATGCTTAACCAACTGAGCCACTCAAGTACCCCATGTCTGTGTATTATTTTATAATAAAAATATTAAAAAAAAATATGTCCAATAAGAAAAGGCTAACCTACGCATGAAGATTTTTTTGTGTTTATCTTCACGTTCCACAGATAAATAAGCAAGAGCTAAATTTCAACAGATTCTTGAAAACTTGGGAGGACCTATATAGAATTATTCATCATGCAAAAATAAATAAGCATTAAAAAATTATTTTTTAAATGAGCACCTGAGGGGCACCTGGGTGGCTCAGTCGGTTAAGCAGTTAAGCATCTGACTTCGGCTCAGGTCATGATCTCACGGCTCGTGAGTTTGAGCCCCCATCAGACCCTGTGCTGACTGCTCAGAGCCTGGAGCCTGCTTCAGATTCTGTGTCTCCCTCTGTGCCCCTCCCCTGCTCGCACACTGTCTCTCAAAAGTAAATAAATGCTAAAAAAAATGTTTTTTAATAAAAAAAATAAAGGTGTACCTGGATGGCTCAGTCGGTTAAGCATCCGACTTCAGCTTAGGTCATGATCTCACTGTTGGTGAGTTCAAGCCCCACGTCAGGCTCTGTGCTGATGGCTCAGAGCCTGGAGCCTGCTTCAGATTCTGTGTCTCCCTCTCTCTCTGCCCCTCCCCTGCTCATGTTCTGTGTCTCTCTCTCTGTCTCTCAAAAATAAACAGTAAATAAATTAAAATACATAAATTCTTATGTTAGTGAGCCTTCTTTTATATAGGCACCATACTGGCCTACGCTTGCATAGGGTAGTTCACTGAAGAAAATGTCCCAGTATTTTTTTTCTAGAAGAATTTTTATAAAAGTAAATTTTGTTCATTACAGAATGTTTAGAAACAAAAGTATAAAAAGTAAAATAAAAAAATATATTGTTCTTCTGTTCCCCAGAGATAAGCATAAATAATATTTTGGTATATTTCCTTTTATATGTTAATACATTGACCTTGGGAAGATACAGTTTTGTACCTAGTTTATGTTCTCATCTTTGGCTCTGTACTTGGATTCAGGCCTGGGAGTAAGGGCATTTAAGATCCAAATCCCTTTCAAAGTAGAACTAGTTAATATTTTTGGATTTTATGTTCCTAGGTGGGCTACATCATGCAGCTGCCCGAATTTCTGGTGACAGTGTATATAAGCATTTGAAGTATGAAGGTGGGATTCACCGAGTTCAACGAATCCCCGAGGTGGGCCTGTCATCAAGAATGCAGCGTATTCACACAGGAACCATGTCAGTCATTGTCCTCCCTCAACCAGATGAGGTAACCTTACCAGGAGGCATTGACAACTTCAGCTTAATAGGTGTTTTGCTGACAAGCCTTAGCTTCTAGGAAACTGATTTTTTTTTTTTTATGTATGAAATTTATTGTCAAATTGGTTTCCGTACAACACCCAGTGCTCATCCCAAAAGATGCCCTCTTCAATGCCCATCACCTACCCTTCCCTCCCTCCCACCCCTCCATCAACCCTCAGTTCTCAGTTTTTAAGAGTCTCATATGCTTTGGCTCTCTCCCACTCTAACCTCATTTTTTTTTTCCTTCCCCTCCCCCATGGGTTTCTGTTAAGTTTCTCAGGATCCACATAAGAGTGAAAACATATGGTATCTGTCTTTCTCTGTATGGCTTATTTCACTTAGCATCACACTCTCCAGTTCCATCCACGTTGCTACAAAGGGCCATATTTCGTTCTTTCTCATTGCCCTGTAGTACTCCATTGTGTATATAAACCACAATTTCTTTATCCATTCATCAGTTGATGGACATTTAGGCTTTTTCCACAATTTGGCTATTGTTGAGAGTGCTGCTATAAACATTTGGGTACAAGTGCCCCTATGCATCAGTACTCCTGTATCCCTTGGGTAAATTCCTAGCAGTGCTACTGCTGGGTCATAGGGTAGGTCTATTTTTAATTTTTTGAGGAACCTCCACACGGTTTTCCAGAGTGGCTGCACCAGTTTGCATTCCCACCAACAGTGCAAGAGGGTTCCCGTTTCTCCACATCCTCTCCAGCACTAGGAAACTGGTTTTTGATGATACACATTGAACTTTGTAGTCTATATTGGGAAATCTTAACTCTTCCCAAGGTAAAGTTGCCCTTCTTATGCCTCACCAGGGTGTTTTCTTTTGCTTTTTAAATAGAAGCCAATTCTCTTCATAAAACAGAATTCACAAAGTTTTAATAATGTTGCTTAAGTTTTATCTGTGGAAATGAATTCCATAGATAATATGTTGAGGGCAGTGACATAATATCTATATGGGGTCTATTATCTTATTAGTTGAATACAGCCATATTGCCTATTTTTTTTTCCTTTTTAAAATTTTATTTTAAATATACAGAAAATTGAAAGACTGCCACTAAAAACTTACATAACCTTCACCTGTAGTCAATACCCATTTACATTTTGCCATATTTGCGGGATTCCTATGTGTGTATGTGTACACATTTTTTTAAATAACTATAAAGAATATAGCAGACACTATGAGGCTTTATCCTCCAAATCTTCAACTTAACATCTTTTAAGATTAGGACATTTTCCTACTTAAATAATACCATTATTTGTGAAAATCAGCCATAATGCTGTAATATTATCTTCTAGGAAAAACTCCTGCACGTTCTGTTTACTCACAGAATACTCCTCCACTCTAAGTGTGTCGAGCTTTTTTTTCCGCGAGCAAGCAATTTCTCAATAATCTGTGGACACCAAGCGGCTGTCCTACAAGTCAACTCAATTCTGACATGACCTACCAGGAAATAGCATCAGACCCCACAGGCTAGGAGCTCATTCCCACTGGTCTCCCTTCCCTCCCACCTCAGAGGTCAGTCACCAGTCCAGGGTGTCACCTGTGCTTCTGACCAAGTGGCTATGAATTGAGAGGTTTCCACAACCCCATCCTTGAGCTCGATAATTTACTGAAGTAGCTCACAGAACTCAGTTACTATGAAAAGTTGTTTATTACAAAAGATACAATTCAGGAACAGCCATATGGGAGAGATGTATGGGGCAAAGTACATGCGAAGACGTGCAGAGCTCCCCTACCCTGTCTAGGTTCACTACCCTCCTTGCACCTCCACGTGTTCACCAGCCTGAAAGTTCTTTGAACCCTGTGTCTTGAGGATTTTCATGGAAACTTCTATACATAGCCATGATTGATTAAACCATTGGGCACTAGCGATTAATTTGACCTCCAGTTCCTTTCCCTTCACTGAAAGTTGGGGTGGGGGCGGTAGAGCTGAAAATTCCAGTCCTCCAATCACAGGATTAGTCCCCCTGGCAGTCAGCCCCCATCGTGTAGTTATCTAAGGGCTTTAGAAATCACCTCTTATTAACATACACTTAAAAGGGGGCTTGTTGTGTACAACAAAATACCTTCATCAGTCTTTATTTTTTAATAATTTGTTTTTAATTTACATCCAAGTTAGTTAGCATATAGTGCAATAATGATTTCAAGAATAGAATCCAGTGGTTCATCCCCTACATATAACACCCAGCACTCATCCCAACAAGTGTCTTCCTTAATGCCCCTTGCCCATTTAGCCCATCCCCCTACCCACCACCCCTCCAGTAACCCTCTGTTTGTTCTCCATATTTAAGAATCTCTTAGGGGCGCCTGGGTGGCGCAGCCGGTTAAGCGTCCGACTTCAGCCAGGTCACGATCTCGCGGTCCGTGAGTTCGAGCCCCGCGTCGGGCTCTGGGCTGATGGCTCAGAGCCTGGAGCCTGTTTCCGATTCTGTGTCTCCCTCTCTCTCTGCCCCTCCCCCGTTCATGCTTTGTCTCTCTCTGTCCCAAAAATAAAAATAAAAAAAACGTTGAAAAAAAAAAAAAAAATTTAAAAAAAAGAATCTCTTATGTTTTGCCCCCCTGTTTTTATGTGATTTTTGCTCCTCTTCCCTTATGTTCATCTGTTTTGTATCTTAAATTCCACATATCAGTGAAATCATACGATATTTGTCTTTCTCTAATTTTGCTTAGCATAATTTTGCTGAGTAATATTCCCACTGTGTATATATGCCACATCTTCTTTATCCATTCATCTGTCAATGGACATTTGGGCTCTTTCCATGCTTTGGCTGTTGGTGATAGTTCTGCTATAAACATTGGGGTGCATGTGCCCTTCAAATCAGCATTTTTGTATCTGTTGGATAAATTCCTAGTAGTACAATTGCTGGGTTGTAGGGTAGTTCTATTTTTAATTTTTTGAGGAACCTCCATACTGTTTTCCAGACTGGCTGCACCAGTTTGCATTCCCACCAGTAGTGTGAAAGGGTCCCTTTTTCTTTGCATCCTCACCAACATCTGTCATTGCCTGAGCTGTTAATTTTACCCATTCTGACTGGTGTGAGGTAGTATCTCATTGTGGTTTGGATTTGTATTTCCCTGATGATGAGTGATGTTGAGCATTTTTTCATGTGTCTGTCAACCATCTGGATGTCTTCTTTGGAAAAGTGTCTATTCATGTCTTTTGCTCATTTCTTCACTGGATTACTTGTTTTTTTGGGTGTTGAGTTTGATAAGTTCTCTATAGATTTTGGATACTAACCCTTTATCTGATATGTCATTTGCACATATCTTCTCCCATTCTGTCAGTTGCCTTTTAGTTTTGCTGATTGTTTCCTTCACCATGCAGAAGCCTTTTATCTTGATGGGGTCCCAAGAGTTCATTTTTGCTATTGTTTCCATTGTCTCCAGAGATATGTTGAGTAAGAAGTTGCTGTGGCCAAGGTCAAAGAGGTTTTTTCCTGCTTTCTCCTCTAGGATTTTGATGGCTTCCTGTCTTACGTTTAGGTTTTTCATTCATTTTGAGTTTATTTTTGTGTATGGTGTAAGAAAGTGGTCTAGGTTCATTCTTCTGCATGTTGCTGTCCAGTTTTCCCAGCACCATTTGCTGAAGAGACTGTCTTTATCCCATTGGATATTCTTTCCTGCTTTGTCAAAGATTAGTTGGCCATATGTTTGTGAATCCATTTCTGGGTTCTCTATTCTGTTCCACTGATCTAAGTGTCTGTTTTTGTGTCAGTACCATACCATCTTGATGATTACAGCTTTGTAATACAGCTTGAAGTCCAGCATTGTGATGCCTTCAGCTTTAGTTTTCTTTTTCAGAATTGCTTTGGCTATTTCGGGTCTCTTCTTGTTCCATACAAATTTTAAGATTCTTTGTTCTAGCTCTGTGAAGAATGCTGGTGTTACTTTGTTAGGGATTGCATTGAATATGTAGATTGTTTTGGGTAGTATTGACATTTTAACGATAGTTGTTATTCCTATCCGTGTGCATGGAATCTTTTTCCATTTTTTTGTGTCTTCTTCAATTTCTTCTGTAAGCTTTCTATAGTTTTCAGTGTATAGACTTTTCACCTCTTTGGTTAGGTTTATTCCTGGTATTTTATGGGTTTTGGTGCAATTCATCAGTCTTATCATAGGAAATTCAGAGGGTTTTAGGAGTTCTGTGGAGTTATTTCTAGGTTTTTTTTTTTTTTTAAATCAGGATTCCATCCAGTTTCATACCTTGTCATTAAGTCATATATATCTTTAAGGTTGGAACAGTCTCCCAACCCTTTTTTTTTTAATGACATTAATTTTCTGAAGAGTCTAGACCATTTGTCTTATAGAATTTGTTTCCTCATGGTACTCTTTAACTCATTCCTTTATCCTATTGCATTCAGGTTATATGTTTTTTGTGGTTTTTTTTTAAATGTTTATTTATTTTTGAGAGAGACAGAGCATGAGCAGGGGAGGGGCAGAGAGAAGGAGACAGAAGATCAGAAGTAGGCTCCATGCTATGAGCATAGAGCCCGATGTGGGGCTCAAACTCATGACCGTGAGATCATGACCTGAGCTGAAATCAAACGTTGGACATTTAACCAACTAAGCCACCCAGGGCGCCTCAGATTACTCATTTTGATCAAGAATACTTTATAGGCACTTATATTCATGTTGCATTTTATCAGAAGACACATAATATCAGATTGTCTGACTTTAGTGAGGATTAGTTTAAACATCGTGACCATAAAACTATCACCGTTTAAAAATTATATTTTTCTCTTTGCAGTTCCTGAGGAATCTCTAGGGTACATATATCCTATTTCCAACAACTTTTCAATGATCTTAACATCCATTAGTGATCTTTTTGCCTGAATCAGTTATTTTCTTTGGGGTTGCAAGATGGTAATATTCTAACTGTCTTTTCTTCTGCATTTATTAACTGGCATTCTTTTCTGTAAAGAACTTTCCTCACTAATATATCCTCTCTCCTCCTTCCTTCTTTCTTTGTCTTTTATTTTACCTCATTATAAACTCAATATTATTTCATTATTCACCTTATTATAGACTTACAGTTTGTGAGTTCTAATCACTGTTGTGTTTAATGTTCAATTTGTCTCTGATTTGGTCAGTGGTAGCCTTTTTAGGGCAGCTCTTTTTGAAATGACCCCATTAGTTTTTGAACATATCCTTGCTTTCTGGTATAATTAGATATCCTAAGCCCAACTTCTATCTGTCTGCCTCAGACTTGGTGTCAGATCTCATTTCTTTTGGTGAGAAATATACCCAGAAATTAAGAGCTGGGTACTATGTATGCTCATTATTATTAATGTGTGCTTACATTTAGATTCTTTAATGTACAGAGCTACGATATACATATGATTTTAAATAACTGGTACCAATTACTAGTATTACCAACTCAAATTTAACATTAAGGGAGTATTTCCTCCTCACCATCTTGCATTTTGTATTTATATCTCTTTACACGTGAGTAAAATTTTATTTCTTAATCACGTTAATATATTTATGTTTTTCTTTATTATGTAGCATATATAAAATGTTTTTAAAATTAGCAAACTACTGAGTACTGTTTAAGAATTCTGTCCTTAGGATATTGCCTACCAGGAAAGCATAGTCAAAGCACTATGTTCAAAGACCATCTGAAATAATGTTCTTCTATGTGCTTATGATATCATTATGGTAAATATTTTGATTCATTTGTTTCTGTTCCTATTAAGTATTAGCATTTGAGTTTTCTTTCCTCTTTTATATAATTTCACTCTTGGTGTATGCAAACATTTATGTAGTTCAGAAATCAAAACCATAGAGTTTTCTTGCTTCCCTCCTTATTCCTTCCACCCCATTTTCACCTATCCTCTTATTCTCTTCATATTCTTGAAAATTAAACTCATGTAGTGGAGTTTCATTTTCATAAAAGAGCAAAGTCTTATTCTCTTAATTGACATTCAAAATTCTTTGTATTTCATTAAGTCACTGTTTCTTTGTTCAGCATTTTCCAACAGTCATTAGGTAGTTATAACATTTAAGAGAATAGGACATATAATATACATATATTTACTACATGACTATTTAATATACTGTAACCACAAAAAATGGGAAATTACTCGTCTCTTTAGTGTTTGTTTTTAAAAAAGTATTTATTTTTTGGGACCGTGCAAGTGGGGGAGGGGCAGAGTGAGGGGGACAGAGGATCTGAAGCAGGCTCTGCGCTGACACTCTGAGAGCAGTGAGCCCAATATGGGGCTTGAACTCACAAACCACAAGATCATGACCTGAGCTGAAGTCGAATGCTCAACTGACTGAGCCACCCAGGTGCTCCACTTCTCTTTAGCATTTATTGAAATTTTAAGGTAGCCAACACTGACATATTTTAACAAAAGCTGTATAATCTTTTCTTCACAGTATAGTATTCATTTTAGAGGAAACAAAAGAATAACCAAATTGTATATTAGAGTCTAAAACTGACCCTGTTATTACTCTACAAAGAGAAAAATCAGACTCGCTGCCATTCATACAAATAAATGATAAATGTGGAACAAGATGTTAGTTCTCCCCTGAAAAACATCGTATTTTGTAGTGTGTGTGTGTGTGTGTGTGTGTGTGTAACAAATTACCACAAATTTAGGGGCTGGAAACAGAAAAAAAATTTTATTTTCTCACAGTTCTAGAAGCCAGGAGTCTAAAATCAAGGTATTGGCAGGACCATACTCCTTCCAGAGCTTCTAAGGATGAAGGCTGCCTTGCTACTTCCAGTTTCTAGTGTCTCTAGGTGTTCCTTGGATGCAAGCTAGATACCTCTGAATGCACACGTTCCTCTCCTCTACTTTCTCCTCTAAGGACACTTCTTACTGGATTTAGGGCCTATTTGAATAATCCAGGATGATCTCATCTTAAATCAATTACAGCTGCAAAATCTCTTTTTCCAAATAAGGTTCTAGTGGTGAGAACATGAACATATCTTTTTGGATGCTACCATTTAGTCCACTAATAAGTACACATAGTCGATTCTCAGTATTCACAGTAGTTATGTTTTGTGAAGTCTCAGCAAACACTGATTTAGCAAATACTGAACCATCATTTCCCCTAGGGGAAATATGTATGCGTGTGTATACATATATTTATATACCTATATATTTCTGTATCTATTTATCTTACATGGATTATAATCTTAAAAGTAACCTGTCATGGTAGAGTCTATTTTCTTTATTTTACAAAGAGAAAATGAGGTTCACAAGTATTAGGTGACTTGCCTGAGGCTACTTCATTAACAGATGCCTGAGTTGGGGTTCAAACCCCATCCAACTGACCCAAGAGCCAAAGCTTCTTGCACTACGCTGCTCTGCCCCCTCCTGTCTTCATTCTCTGGCCATACTGAAAAAAGAAACCCAAGTGTCACCTTGTTCGACCTCAGCTGGGAATGTGCACATATAGAGCAGCTTGGAGTTTCTACAGTTCTGCGCATGTCACCTCGTGACTGTGAAAGTGCAGCAATAATTGATATGGGGAACAAATAAAGTAGGTGAATTTGCATATAGTCGGAATAATGAGGATCAACTTTATGCATACACGCATACGTATATATGGATATTTTCTATCAAATGTGGCTTTGTGGCATGGTGTGTGAGGACACTTGAGAGATTGCCTAACCCCATGATCTCATAGCAACATAATCAGTGTCAAAAAATAGCATCAGTTGATATAGGGAGTTTACGGTTCTTTCTTGGGTATAAGCTCTTTCTTAGTTTAAGTATTAAAACATTTGTTGGACGTAGAATTTACTTACGTTGTACTTTTGGTTCTAGGTAGATGTGAAAATAGACCCCAAGGATTTGCGAATAGATACATTTCGAGCCAAAGGAGCAGGAGGTCAGCATGTTAATACAACTGATAGTGCTGTCAGACTCGTCCATGTCCCCACAGGTAATCAAGTCCCTTTGCTTTTGTACTTTTAACCTGTTTTTACATCTTACAAAACTATTCAACGTTGAGAAGAAAATAGTTTTGTGTTGGTGTCTTGTTTCTTGCACCAACTCTTTAAGTTGACATTGGGATCATGGGTCTGAGGTCCCCAGTGTGTTCATATTCCACTTTTTTTCTCCGTTTCAAATTTTTATTTAAATTCTAATTAGTTAACATATAGTGTCATAGTTGGTTTCAGGAGGAGAATTTAGTGATTCATCACTTACATATAACACCCAGTGCTTATCCCAACAAGTACCTTCTTAATACCCATCACCCATTTAGCCCATCCCCCCCGCCTCCATTCCAGCAACCCTCAGTTTCTTCTTTGTTTTGAAGAGTCTCTATCGTTTTCCTTCCTCTCTATTTTTATCTTATTTTTCCTTCCCTTACCCTGTGTTCATCTGTTGTGTTTCTTAAATTCTACATATGAATGAAATCATGTGGTATTTGTTGTTCTCTTATGGACTTACTTCGCCTAGCATAATATACTCTAGTTCCGTTCGTATCATTGTAAATGGCAAGATTGCATTCTTTTTGATGGCTGAGTAATATTTCATTGCGTGTATATATACACACCACACCTTTATTTTTTTATTTTTTTTTTTACATTTATTTATTTTTGGGAGAGAGAGAGAGAGCAAGTGGAGGAGGGGCACAGAGAGAGGGAGACACAGAATCTGAAGTAGACTCCAGGCTCTGAGCTGTCAGCACAGAGCCCGATGTGGGCCTCAAACCCACAAACCGTAAGATCATGACCTGAGCTGAAGTTGGATGCTTAACCAACTGAGCCACCCAGGAACCCTGATATACCACAGCTTCTTTATCCATTCATTAGTCAATGGAAATTTGGGCTTTTCCCATAGTTTGGCTATTGTTGATAATCCTGTAATAAACATCAGGGTGCATGTGCCCCTTCAAATCAGTATTTTTCTATCATTTGGGTAAACACCTGGTAGTGTAATTGTTAGGTCGTAGGATAGTTCTGTTTTTAATTTTTTGAGGAACCTCCATGCTGTTCTCCAGAGTACCAGTTTGCATTCCCACCAACACTTTAAGAGGGTTCCCCTTTCTCCACATCCTCGCCAACATCTTTTGTTTCCTATGTTGTTAATTCTGACAGGTGTAAAGTGATACTTCATTGTGGTTTTGATTTGTATGTCCCTGATGATGAGCAATGGTGGGCATCTTTTTATGTCTGGACAAAAGCCATCTGGATGTCTTCTTTAGAAAATACATCTATTCATGTATTCTCTATCCCTTTCTTAACTGGATTATTTGTTTTGGGGGTGTTGAGTTTGTTGAGTTCTTTACAGATTTTGGATACTAACCCTTTATCTGATATGTCATTTACAAATATCTTCTCCCATTCTGTCAGTCACCTTTAAGTTTTGCTGATTGTTTCCTTCACTGTGCAGAAGCTTTTTATGTTGATGAAGTCCCAATAGTTCATTTTTGCTTTTGTTTCCCTTGCCTCCAGTGATGTGTTTAGTAAGAATTTGCTACGGCCTGGGTGAAAGAGGTTGCTGCCTATGTTATTCTCTAGAATTTTTATTGTTTCCTGTCTCACATTTGGATCTTGCATCCATTTTGAATTTATTTCTGTGTAGGGTGTAAGAGACTATATTTTTTCCATTGGATATTCTTTCCTGCTTTGTTGAAGATTAGTTGACCATATGGTTGTGGGTCATTTTTTCTGGGCTTTCTGTTCTATTCCATTGATCCAGTGTATGTTTTTGTGCCGGTACCATATTGTCTTGATGACCACAGCTTTGTAATACAGCTTGAAGTCCATAATTGTGGTGCCTTCACCTTTGTTTTCTTTTTCAGGATTGCTGTGGCCATTCAGGGGCTTTTGTGGTTCTATACAACCTTGTTTGTTCTAACTCTGAAAAATGCTGCTGGAATTTTGATAGGGATTGCATTAAATACGTAGATTACTTTGAGTCGTATAGACATTTTAACAATGTTTGCTCTTCTAATCCATGAGCATGGAATGTCTTTCCATTTCTTTGTATCATCTTCAATTTCTTTCAGAAGTGTTCTTTTTTTTTTTAAATTTTTTTTTTTTTATTAACGTTTACTTATTTTTGAGACAGAGAGAGACAGAGCATGAACGGGGGAGGGTCAGAGAGAGGGAGACACAGAATCGGAAGCAGGTTCCAGGCTCCGAGCTGTCAGCACAGAGCCCGACACGGGGCTGGAACTCACGGACCGCAAGATCATGACCTGAGCCGAAGTCAGCCGCTTAACCGACTGAGCCACCCAGGCACCCCTCTTTCAGAAGTGTTCTATAGCTTTCAGAGTACAGATCTGTTATCTCCTTAGTTAGGTTTATTCCTAGTTATCTTATTATTTTTGGTGCAATTGTAAATGGCATCAATTCCTTGATTTCTTTTTCTGCTGCTTCACTATTGGTGTATAGAAATGCAACAGATTTCTGTACATTGATTTTGTATCCTGTGACTTTGCTGAATTCATGTATTAGTTCTGGCAATTTTGTGGTGGAGTCTTTCATGTTTCCTACATAAATGACATCATGTCATCTGCAAATAGTGAAAGAGTGACTTCTTTCTTGCTGATTTGGATGCCTTTTATTTCTTTTTGTTGTCTGATTGCTGAGGCTAAAACTTCCAAAACTATTAAACAACCATGATGAGAATGGACATTCCTGTCTTGTTCCTGATCTTAGAGGAAAAGCTTTCAGTTTTTCCCCGTTGAGGATGATATTAGCTGTGGGTCTTTCATATATGGCCTTTATGATGTTGAGGTATGTTCTATCTATCCCTACTTTGTTAGGAGTTTTTGTCAAGAATGGATGCTTTATGGGGCGCCTGGGTGTCAGTCAGTTAAGTATCCAGCTCTTGATTTCAGCTCAGGTTGTGATTTCATGGTCATGGGATCAAGCCCCACGTCAGATTCTGGAGCATGGAGCCTGCTTGAGATTCTCCCTCTCCTTCTCCCTCTGCCCCTCCCCACTTTCATGCTTGCTGTCTCAAAAAAAAAAAGAATGGCTTCTGTACTTTGTCAAATGCTTTTTCTGCATCTATTGAGTGGATCATATGGTTCTTATCCTTTCTTTTATTAATGTGGTGTATCATGTTGATTGAATTGCAAATTATGACTCACCCCTGTAGCCCAGGAATAAATCCCATATGATCATGGTTAATAATTCTTTTAATGTACTGTTGGATTCAATTTGCTAGTTTCTTGAGAATTTTTGCATCCATGTTCATCAGGGATATCGGCCTATAATTCTCCTTTTTAGTGGGGTCTTTGTCCGGTTTTGGAATCAAGGTTATGCTGGCCTCATAGAATGAGTTTGTAAGTTTTCCTTACATTTCTATTTTTTGGAACAGTCGAGAAGAATAGGTATTAACTTTTTTTACATGTCTGATAGAATTCCCCTGGGAAGCCATCTAACCCTGGACTTCTGTTTGTTGAGAGATTTTTGATTGCTGATTCGATTTCTTTGCTGGTTATGGGTCTGTTCAAATTTTCTATTTCTTTCTGTTTCAATTTTGATAGTTTGTATGTTTCTAGGAATTTATCCATTTCTTCTAGATTGCTCAATTTGTTGGCATATAATTTTTCATAATATTCTTTTACAATTGTTTGTATTTCTGTGGTGCTGGTTGTGATCACTCCTCTTTCATTCATGATTTTATTTATTTTGGTCCTTTCTCTTTTCTTTTTTGATAAGTCTGGCTAGGGCTTATCAATTTTATTCATTCTTTCAAAGAACCAGCTCTTAGTTTTGTTGATCTGTTCTACTTTTTTTGTGTGTGTCCATATTGTTTTTTTCTCCTCTACACTTTATTATTTCCCTTCTTCTGCTGGCTTTAGACTTCATTTGCTGTTCCTTTTCTAGCTCCTTTAGGTGTGAGGTTAGGTTGGGTCTTTGAGATTTTTCTTGCTTCTTGACATAGGCCTTTATTGCAGTATACTTCCTGCTTAGGACCGCCTTCGCTGCATCCCAAAGGTTTCGGACTGTCGTGTTTTCATTTTCATTTGCTTCCGTGTATTTTTTTTTTTTACTTCTTCTTTAATCTCCTGGTTAACCCATTTATGCTTTAGTAGGATGTTCTTTAACCTCCATGTTTTTATGATCTCTCCAAATTTTTCTTGTGGTTGACTTCAAGTTTCATAGTGTTGTGATCAGAAAATATGCATGGAATGATCTCAGTCTTTTTGTACCTGAGGGCTGATTTGTGACCCAGTATGTGATCTATTCTGGAGAATGTTTCATGTGCACTCGAAAAGAATGTGTATTCTGCTGCCTTAGGATAAAATGTTCTGAATATATCTGTTAGGTCCATCTGCTCCAGTGTGTCACTCAAACCTACTGTTTCCTTGTTGATTTTCTGCTTAGATGATCTGTTCATTGCTATAGATGGGGTGTTAAAGTTCCCTACTATTAATTGTATTATTATCAATGAGTTTCTTTATGTTTTTTTATTAATTGACTTATATATTTGGGTGCTCCCAAGTTGGGGCATAAATATTTATAATTGTTAGATCTTCTTGATGGATAGACCCCTTAATTATGATATAGTATCCTTCTTCATCTCTTGTCATGGTCTTTGGTTTAAAATTTAGTTTGTCTGATATAAGTATGGCTACTCTGGCTTTCTTTTGATGTTCGTTAGCATGATAGATGGTTCTCCATCCCCTCACTTCCAATCTGCAGTTGCCTTTAAGTGTAAAATGAGTCTCTTAAAGGCAGCCTATAGATGAGTCTTGGTTTTTTTGTTTTGTTTCGTTTTGTTTTTATCCATTCTGATACTCTATATCTTTTAATTGGAGCATTTAGTCTTTTTACATTCAGAGTGATTATTGGTAGATATGAATTTAGTACCATTGTATTACCTGTAAAGTCATTGTTTCTGGAGATTTTCTCCATTCCTTTCTAGTCTCTGTAGCTGTTGTTCTTTCCTTCCCGCTCAGAGTCCTCTTTAATATTTCTTGCAGGGCTGGTTTAGTGATCACAAACTCCTTTAGTTTTTGCTTGTCTAGGAAACTCCTTATCTCTCCTTCTATTCTGAATGACAGACTTGCTGGATAAAGTATTCTTGGCTTCATATTTTTTCTATTCAGCCCATTGAATATATCATGCCACTCCCTTATGGCCTGCCAAGTTTCTGTGGACAGATCTGCTGCAAACCTGATTTGTCTTCACTTGTAGGTTAAGGACTTTTTTTCCCCTTGCTGCTTTTTGGATCTTTCCCCTATCTCTCTATTTTGCAAATTTCACTAGGATATGTCTTGATGTTGACTGGTTTTTTTTTATTTTGATGGGAGTTCTATGTGCCTCTTGCATTCTGATGTCTGTTTCCTTACTCAGATTAGGGAAGTCTTCAGCTATAATTTGTTGAAATAAACCTTCTGCACGTTTTCCCTCTCTTCTTCTGGGACTTCTATGATACTAATATTACTACACTTTGAGGAGTTGCTGAGTTCCCTAAGTCTTCATTCATGATCCAATACTTTTTCTTCTCTCCTCTTTTCAGCTTCATTATTTTCCATTATTTTATCTTCTGTATCATTGATTCATTCCTCTGCTTCATCCATCCTCATTGTCATTGACCACTCAGTTTTACATCTCCATTATAGCATTTTTTTATTTCAACCTGACTAGTTTTTAGTTCTTTTATCTCTGCAGTAAAGGATTCTCTAAAGTCCTCTATGCTTTTCTTAAGCCCAGCTAGTATCATTATTATTGTTGTTTTAAATTCTTGTTCAGGCATCTTACTTGTATCTGTTTTGATTAAATCCCTGGCTGAGACTTCTTCCTGTTCTTTCTGTTGGGGTGAATTCCTATGTCTTGTCATTTTGTCTTGGTCACTGTTTATGTGTGTGTATGTCAGGAAAGCCTATTATATTCCTGCTCATGAGAGTGATTGCTATATTGAGAAGAGGTCCTATACTGTCTTGGTACTGGTGCTTCAGGAAGTATTTCAGAGTATGCATTCTGTTGTTGTGCTTTAGCTGCTCTTTCCCTCAGGTCAATCCTTTGCAGAGTTTCTCCTTGCCTGCATTGGGGAGTGTTTGGACACTGTCCACTGTGTGCAAGTTTTAACTAAGTATGTTTCAGTCTGCTTGTTAAAAGAGGCTAGATCCTATTTCCCCTAGAGCTGAAGCTTTGCAGCACTCTGTGATCAGTATACTTGGTGCACATGAAGGGTTTGTGGTCTTCTGAGGGAGGATCCTGCTGTACTGGTTTTCAGGAGGACTTGCCTAGGCAAGATGCACCTGCAGGGTGCAGGGGGGCAAGAACTTGGTGTAGGCGGTTCCAGCCTTCACTGGGGGTCTTGTGTTGCTCACTGACGTTAGTCAGTGCCGATGGGGAGGGGATAATGGCATTACCCCACTCTCTTGTCCCCAGAGCAGGGAGTTCAAGCCTGCCACTCTTCAGGAAGCCCTCACAGAAGAGTGAACAGCCTCCCTTCTTGTGTCCCCAGCTTCCATCACAGCCCTGCCTTCACCCTGTCTGTGTCCAAGCTTTCTGCCTGCCAGGAGGCACAGTACTCCTGTGTTTTATCTCCAGAATGTGGCTGGGTGTCAAAGTTTCAAATTTTAGGGACCTGGTGCAGCATGGACCCGCGCAGATCCTCTGGGGGAGGGTCTTGCTGCACCGTGACTGGTGCTAGTTTGTCCCTGAAAAGTAGTCACTCAGCCACACAGTGGTTGGGAGTTTATGGTAAAGCACACCTGAGCAGAAATCAAGAGTCAGGCACTCAACCAACTGAGCCACCCAGGTGCCCCTAAAAGTTATTTTTTTCTAAAGCACTTTTACAGTTTTTTAATCATCCTAGTACCTTATTCAACAACTCTTCTATTATTCAGCATACTTCCCCCGGACCCAGGTCCTCTCTTCCTAGGGGAGTACTTGTGATTAAATACTGGTCTTTAGAAAGTGTATTAAAATATAAGATCAAGTGATTTCCTTGGGAATCACTGAGCTGGTAAGTAAGAGTTTTAAGCTCAAAGTTCTGACCTGAGCCACTGGATGGGAATAGTATCGATGTTTAGGTAGAACTTACTGCTGGTCAGCTGAGAAGAAGAAGAATTTGAAGGAAAGCTTATGAGCATCTAGCCATCTTGAAATAAATATTTTCATATCCTTTTAGATGGTGAAAAAGGATACCGGATTCAGGACAGCTGCAGGAAAGTGCCCCAGCCCAAACACAGGGCTGCATGTGACTGTACAGCAGTCAAGAATAAACTAATAGAGGTGAAACCTAGGTATCCTAGTAAAAGTATTTAGCAGCTGTAGATTTTGGCTTATTTAGACAGGGCAAAAACACAATTTAGAGAGTTAAATTTGGGGGTTTTTTGGAGGGTAGAATTTTACAGAAAATTTTTAAGTCTCCAGAAAGATAGTTACGACTGTATCAGTTTAGCTGGCCTAAGCTAATATGGATTTTGGATTTTGTGGATCACCTCTAATGTACTTGAGAGCAGGATCAGACATAGACCTTCAGAATGGTAGCTGCAAAGTTAAGAACAGAACAGCCTGAAGTATCAAGGGTCATTATTTCAGGTCGAGATTCAGGCTAGTAACTGGGCTACACAACAGGCAAAACCCACCCAAATCCAGAAGGTGGCTAACCAAAACATGTATGATCAGATGTGGGATTAGCTGATTTTAGAACCAGGACAACTGAGAAACATTCACTATGAACTCTTCCTTATAAAGAGTTTTATAGGGGCGCCTGGGTGGCTCGGTCGGTTAAGCGTCCGACTTCGGCTCAGGTCATGATCTCATGGTCCGTGAGTTCGAGCCCCACGTCGGGCTCTGTGCTGACCGCTCAGAGCCTGGAGCCTGTTTCAGATTCTGTGTCTCCCTCTCTCTCTGCCCCTCCCCCCCGTTCATGCTCTGTCTCTCTCTCTCTCTGTCTCAAAAATAAATAAACGTTAAAAAAAAATTTAAAAAAAAAGAGTTTTATAAATAGTTTCTTTTCATTAGTTTCTATAAACAATTGACCCTTGAACAACATGGAACAACATGGAAATTAGGAATGCAACCCCTTGTTGCCAAAAATACACCTATAAATTTGACTCCCCCAAAACTTAATAGCCTATTGTTGACCAGAAACCTTACGAAAAACATAACCACATACTCTGTGTTGTATGTATTAAATGCTGCATCCTTACACTAAAGTAAGCTAGCAAAAAGAAAATGTTACTAAGAAAATCATAAAGAAGAGAAAATATGTTTACAGTACCATACTGTAAAAAAATAAATCTATGTATATACGTGGACTTGTGCAGGTTCAAACCTTGTTCAAGAGGCAACTGTATCAAGTCATTTTTTTTCTTTTCAACTTATGTTTTTAATTCCAGTATAATTAATTTACAGTGTTATATTTGTTTGAAGTATATAATGTAGTAGTTTAACAATTTTATACATTACTCAACGCTCATCACAATATGTGTATTCTTAATCCCCTTCACCTCTTTCACTCATCCCCTCACCTACTTCCCCCGCTAACCACCATTTTGTTCTATATATTTAAGAGTCTATTTTTTTGTGTGTCTCTTTTTTCCTTTGTTTGTTTGGTTTGTTAAATTCCACATATGAACAATATCATATGGTATTTGTCTTTCTCTGACTGACAGTTCACTTACCATTTGTACCCTCTAGATCCATGTTGCTGCAAATGGCAAGATTTCGTTCTCTTTCTTAATTCTTTTTTATGGATGAGTAATAGTCCATCACACACACACACACACACACACACACACACACACACACACACTTATAAATGAATATACACAAGCACTCCCCACATCTTCTTTATCCATTCATCTATTGACAGACATTTGGGTTGTATAAAGTCATTTTTAAAACATCAGCTCTGTGTGTATTTGTGGCTTAAAGGGGAAAAGCTGAGTGCTCTTTGACTAAAACAGAATGGAGCAGCACTGCATGGGGGTAGCAGCAGTTCACTCTGTCGGGCTGTTGTGTGAATCAGCTGGGAGGGAGAGGCAGAGCTGTGGGATGCAGATGCTACTGCTTCCACTCTTCTCATCTGAAGTATCTCATTTAGATATCTGAATCTAAATGGCCATCTACAGCTGGTTTCTAAAGTATGCTAAGTCTGAAATATTCCTGAGCTCAGGGCACCTGGGTGGCTCAGTCAGTTGAGCATCCAACTCGATTTCGGCTCAGGTCATGATCCCAGGGTCACGAGATCAAGTCCCACATCAGGCTCCATGCTGAGCGTGGAGCCTGCTTAAGATTCTCTCCCCTCCACCTCCACTCCCCTGTTTATGGTCTCCCTCCCTCCCTCTCTTTCTCTCTCTCTCTGTCTAAAATAAAAATATTTTTTTCCAGTTTTATTAAGATATAATTGACATCTCAGGTCTATCTTAATTTGGCTTCTGGATGCTACAGTTTACCTCTGATTCTCGTTTTTCAGGGCTTGTAGTAGAATGCCAACAAGAACGATCACAGATAAAAAATAAAGAGATAGCTTTGCGTGTGTTGAGAGCTAGACTCTACCAGCAGATTATTGAGAAAGACAAATGTCAGCAACAAAGTACTAGAAAACTGCAGGTAAGATTTATTTGGTATAATGATACCTCTGCACAAAAAGTCATAATTTTATGTAGAAAATACAGCGTTTGTTCTTGATCAAATGGGAATATCTGATAGCATAGAGAAACTTGCTTATTTGTAAATAAACAATAATTTTATTGCATATGGACTAGCAGGTTAGGGCTAAATTTGGATGTGTCAGTTTACAAATGAATAGATGAGAGGGGCACCTAGGTGGCTCAGTCAGTTAAGCGTCTGACTTCGGCCCAGATCATGATCTCACAGTTCGTGGGTTCAAGTCCCACGTCGGGCTCTGTGCTGACAGCTCAGAGCCTGGAACCTGCTTCAGATTCTGTGTCTCCCTCTCTCTGTGTCCCTCCCTAGCTTTCTCTCTCTCTCTCTCTGAAAAATAAATAAAACATTTTTTAAAAAAATGAACAGATGAGATATGCGTAAACTCCGAATTATTTCCCAGTTGTTTCCCTCCAGTGTTTGTATCGTGACTATCTTGAGAGGAGATTAGGTTAAAAGATAAAAAACTTCTCTGGAAATTAGGATAGTTGCAGATTTTTTAATTTAAAAACTTATGTTTTTTTAAAAACTCTGTGGGATCAAAAGTAAATGTCACTGCAAAAAACCTATAATGGTGATTGCTACTGATGGGATGTGGGGTGGGGGTAGAAGAGAGATTTATTGGCCACTATATATACCTTTTGTACTTTCTGAATTTTGTACCATATAAATGTATGATATTTATTCAAATATGTAGATAAAGGTTAAACAAAATGAATAAGTGTCATTGATATAAGTAAACAAATTATTGTGGGATTTTAAATCCTAAAAAAGGTTAAGTTTGTCTTTGAGAGAGGTTGGAAGAGAAAGTGTGCTTTGTATTGTTTGTGGATAGGTATGCTGCCCTAAATTGGGAAGGATAATGAATTATATAAACTTTAAATTTTTTTTTTTCAACGTTTATTTATTTTTGGGACAGAGAGAGACAGAGCATGAACGGGCGAGGGGCAGAGAGAGAGGGAGACACAGAATCGGAAACAGGCTCCAGGCTCTGAGCCATCAGCCCAGAGCCCGACGCGGGGCTCGAACTCACGGACCGCGAGATCGTGACCTGGCTGAAGTCGGACGCTTAACCGACTGCGCCACCCAGGCGCCCCTATAAACTTTAAACATTAATTATTTTTTTTACCTGGTCTCTTCACACTTTTGTCCTTCTAGCTTTCCTTATGCACCTTGTAACTTCCAACTAGTAAAAGTGATGGGATAAATGGGAGAATAATCCTCTCTTTGTGGTAATCCTAGACTGTGGTTCAGGATCAGTATATACATTTGCAGATAGGAATGCTCATTAACAAACCATTGCTTTTTGGCAAGTAAGTGATAATGTAAACACGATGAATTTTGTGACATTTGGATTAATAAAAGACATTGGGATTTACTTGCTATTTGGCATTTCAGTACCAAATGTTTACACAGTAATTTTTAAAATGAGTATTTAATATTGGTCTGATACAAATAGTGTGTGTGTGTGTGTGTGTGTGTGTGTGTGTGTGTATGTGTGTCTTCAGAAATTTCTGGCTTCAGGCAGCAGAAAAGGCCTCCCAATTAACTTGTCCATCTGTGTGAATTTTTTAGTAGGTATTTCTAATGCTTAGAGAAGTTTTGGTTCAGCTAATATAAACAGTAGCTTTTATATGGAAGGCATTATATCAGGTTCTCAACTCTGGCTCCATTTATCACCTAAAGAGCTTTGTAGATCCCTCAGCCCCCCGCCCCCCACCCAGAGTCTGACATAATTGATTTGGGTGGGATCCTGGGCATTAATATGGTGATAGTAGTTTCCATACCTGGCTGGTTGCAGAATGGATGGCCTAGGGAATATTCTAAATCTACATAATCCATGATTCAGTATATCTGAGGTTGGGCTTTAGCATCTTTAATTTTTAAAAATGCTCATCATGGTCAGCCATATTTAATTTAGTTCCATATCATTTGCCTAAGGGGTTAAGAAAATAAGTTATAGGGGCACCTGGGTGGTTCATTTGGTCCAACTTTGTCTCAGGGCATGATCTCATGGTTTGTGGGTTAGAGCCCCACATCAGGCTCTGTGCTGACACCTCAGCCTGGAGCCTGCTTGAGATTCTGTGCCTCCCTCTCTCTCTGTCCTTTCCCTGCTCACGCTCTGTCTCTCTCTCAAAAATAAATAAACATTAAAAAACATTTTTTGAAAAAAAAGTTATAGAAATGTCTTTTTTTAGTCTTAAAAAGTGGAAGTGTGTGAGAGGGGGTATTGTGTTGGGGAGGTAGTGTAGGTGAGATTAAGAGGAATGCAAATAACCATGGGGTACCTGACCTGCGGTGGCCCAGTCGGTTAAGCGTCCGACTTTAGCTCAGGTCATGATCTCACAGTTCGTGGGTTCGAGTCTGGCAGGCTCTGTGCTGACAGCTCACAGCCTGGAGCCTGCTTCAGATTCTGTGTCTCCCTCTCTCTGCCCCTCCCCCATTTGCACTCTCTCTCAAAAATAGACAAACATTAAACAAAAATACAAATAACCATAGCATAAGGCAAACTGTAGTGTGCTGTGGAGAAGATTCCAAGTGTAAGGAGTTTCAAAGGAGAAAGTTAACGTATTTCAGTCGTTGCTAGCTGGAAAGGTGGGGATGATAGAGTGTTTGGGAAGGGCATCCCTTGAGATGATGTTTTAGCTGAGTTGACAGAAATGCACATAATTTTGATATGGTTTAATAAGTGGCATTATAGTGGGTCACATAGTTTTAAGAAATGATGTCAGGAAAGTTGGCCACATTATGAGGTACCTTGAATGATGAATTGAGTTGTGTCTGCTTAGTAGACAAGAAGAAACCGAAGAAGTAAATTTATCAGAAAACTGTTTTAAGCAGGCTAAGCAGGGCAACACAATGTAAGCAGAGAAATGGAAGAGGAATCAGGAGATTTTTACAGGAATGAAGGTGAAAATAACAAGCCCTTGAATGATAGAAATGGAAAGGGCAGGAAGTAAGGTGACCCCTGAAACCATTGGGAATGGGCAGGTAGAGAATACGATGAATTGAAGATGGATTCTCCCCTGGCGTCTGTGTCAAGCTCCCATGAAATGTGAACTAAGTTGCGGGATGTCAGAGTTTCCCACTTGGAGCCAAGGGCATGTGGTGGTGTTATTTATAGAACAGGAAGAAGAACTGATTGGGATGCAAAGATAATTTGGTTTTATTTTTTTTATTTATTTATCTGTGTTTTGCACATTTTTTGAGATTGTGGTGTTGGTAGGTGGTGCGGTGGGGAGCAGAGGGGGCCAGAATCGAGCAGCAGGCTCCAGGAAAGCTCGAGCTGTCAGTACAGGAGAGCAGGGCTCAAACTCCTGCAATTTCTTGAATCATGTAACCTGAGCAAAGTCAAGACGGCATCTCAACCATGGAAGCCAACTGAGCGAGAAAGCCTATTATTTTTATTTTTTTTTTAGATTGGCTTATTTTTGAGACAGAGAGAGACAGAGCATGAACAGGGGAGGTGTAGAGAGAGAGGGAGACCCAGAATCGGAAGCAGGCTCCAGGCTCCAGGCACAATAACCTGAAGGTGAGCCGATCTTGAGTTTTCCCGAACTCCTGAGATCATGACCTCAGCCGAAGTCAGACACCCAACCGATCGAGCCACAAAGATAATTTGGTTTTAAATATTTGAAGTTTAAAGTACCAAAGAGACATTCATTCTTATTCCATAACTAAGCTTTACAAACCTGTAGTCTTAAACAGTAAGTTTTGCCCATTCTTGTTCCTTGTTTGTCACTTTGTATATATGACTTTTAGAAAAAATTGAACCTGTTATAATAGAAAAGTCATTTACAAGTATGTTTCCATTATAATAAAGGTAATTATAAAGTTAAAATATGAATTGCCTTTTTGTTATGACACAGGTGGGAACAAGAGCCCAGTCAGAGAGAATTCGGACATATAATTTCACCCAGGATAGAGTCACTGACCACAGGATAGCATATGAAGTTCGTGATATTAAGGTAATATTACTGAATATGCTTTATGTACTTTGCTTTTCAAAGAAAGTATACTCAAATTCTAGAGAGTTATGTCTAAAATCTTACCAAGTAATTTAAAATCATTAAGCCAGTTTAAGATAGTACCCTAAAATTTGCAGATACTTGTATTAGTTTCATGGTAAAAAATGTGGTCTTTATGCCAGTTTCAAACAATTCTCTTTGAACTCCAGATTCTTTGCTATGCAATCACAGTGTACTAAGGTATATTCAATATGCATGTATACACTGTATCAGTTTCCTGTTGCTGTGTAACAAATTACCACAAATTTGGTGGTTTAAAATATTATATCTTAATGGTTATATAGGTTAAAAATCTGGACACAACAGAGATGAGTTCAGAGCTCTCAGGTCCAGTTGCTTGCTTGGTGGCCCTTCCACATGCCCAATCCCACTTTGAATCTTTTGCAGGAATGGCGCAGGCCTTTTTAAGGGCTCATCTGCTTAGGTCAGGCCCATGCCAGTGATACTCCTTTTGAATGACTCAACGTCAACTGATTAGTCACCTAATCACTGGAGTGATATTCTGTCATATTCACAGCTTCTGCCTTGACATAAGGGAGGGACTTCTGCAAGCCCTCCACCAGGGGGCATCTTAGAGTTCTGCTTACCACGATGTATTATTGTTCATTAGATTCAGGAGTTATAATTATGCTGTTGGGGAAAGACCCTCTCATCATGGTTTGAACATTAACCTAACTAAATCCCATTTGGCCGGATCACTGACATAAATCATTAATGATGAAGCACAGGAAGATTCCCCTTTTGCTTCCACTGAAGGGGAAAACGAAGTGGTTCTCATAAAGGACTGTGTACAAAAGGCAAGAGATGGAAAGTTCTGATCTTTTTCCTTGATGCCATGTGATATATAAGGCTTCTTTCATTTGATTCTGTCCCATTCTATACTCAAAATTAAAGTCCTCATTTTACAAGGGGAAATGTCTGTGTTTTCAAAATATTTAGAAATTTCTGTGTATCTTATGCCACTTCCTCTGTCTTCTCAGCAATTTAATACTGTCTTAAATAGGAACATAATAGCCTTGTCAAAAAGGAGAAGATATTTGCTCACTTCCCTTTCCTCAGGAAACACACAGCAATAACCAAATATGTTTGGCCATATTGTTGTAATTACACCATACTCTTTCATTTGTTTTCTGGTAGTGGTGATGGTTTTTCCTGAAACAGCTGCATTCTTATGACCAGTAATATTATTTAGAATAGCCCTTAGGTCCTCAGTTGGTATTCAGTATTGAAACAGGCAAATTAAGTAGCTTTTATAGTTATAAAATACCTGGCTTTGGCCTGGTTATAATAACTAACATGTTATTACTGACGAAACTAGCATGCCAGACTCCGCAATGTAAGGGAAATTATATTTGCATGCTCTCATTATGACTAACCCACCTATTGGAAAGAAAGAAAACATCCCATATTGGTGAAAGGAGGAAATTTGGAAATGTCACGGAAAAAATGTAGTAAAACATTAAAATCTATATGAAGGACAGTAAAGAGACAAGTAGGAGTGAATAATTTAGGAACTGTAAGAGTTGTAGATGAGGCAGGAAAAGTGATTGAGGGCCTTAATCCGAGGGCAGTAGCCCCAGGACAGAATGGAAGGCATGGAGGGGAAAGAAAGTGGATGTCTGTGGGACTTAGCTCAGCTAAGCTCAGCTCTGCTCCTTTATTTTAGAGCCTGACCTCCTTCCATTTACATAGTTCTTGATGAAACTGCTCTGCTCTTACACGATTGAAGACAATAATTGGTTTGTTTGGGGAGGAAATCCGAACAAGCCCCCACCAATGAGTTCCTTCCTAGCATTTTTAAACCGGAGACAAAGAGGGTTAGTCTCTCTCTTGGCTAAAGCTGAAATATGTAAGATTTACAAGAGGCTAGAAGCCACATTTCCAAACCATGAGGAGAAGGCAGTGTTCAGTAAGAGATGAAGCTGATGTATTGAAAGGAGCAAAAATAGAACTGGATGGAAAGAATCTTGATGGTATTAATCCCCACATTCATTTATTCGTAGGCTGCATTCCCAGGGCGGTGGCACCAGCCTTTACATTCCTATCCTTGGGTTCTGTGAGATCACCTCATATTCTTAGTGTGAGTTCTCGTGTAGGTGATTTTGTTTTTATTTTCATTCATCTAGATAAGAAGCACAGACTACCCTATAATATATTGTTTTATGTTTCTATTGTTTCTCAAAGTCCTTGTGCAAATTCCTGAACATCAACCTATCTCCTGCCCTGTATTTCCCTTAAACTGAAGATTTTCCCTTGCCCTGAATACTTTGTTTTCATGCCTTTCTTCATCCTCCTTTTGACTGAAATGCTCCGCTCTCTATTTAGAGAAATACTATTATCTTTTTAAGATCTAATGCAAATTTTTTCTTCCTGCCTAAACTCTTCCCTGATGCCACCTTCTTTTTTTTCTTTTTTAATGCTTATTAATTTTTGAGAGAGAGACAGAGAGTGAACAGGGGAGGAGCAGAGAGAGAGGGAGACACAATGTGAGGCAGGCTCCAGGCCCTGAGCTGTCAGCGCAGAGCTGGACAGGGGGCTCCAACTCACAAGCTGTGAGATCATGACCTGAGCTGAAGTCAGACGCTTAACTGACTGAGCCACCCAGGCGCCCTGCCACCTTCTTTTAAAATTAACCTTACAACCCTCAGTTGCTTCCTTGATTTCTTGCTCTGATTGTGGTGCCTCACTCTGTCACTAGATTATGAGCTTCTGGAGGTTAGGAACCACAAGTCATTCATCCTTGTTCTATCTCTAGTACTCTGGTTAATCCAATTGAACTCTACGTGTGATGTGATTATCATTTAAGAGGGATGATCCTTTTGATACAATTTCCAAATGATGAAATCACCTTGGCAATACCATGATCATTTGAGTTCTGGGCCTGCTAATTTTATAAGCAGTTTCCATATTATGCTCAAAATGGTTTAAATCTTAATTTAAAAGCTTATCATAGTGCTTTTGCTTTACTTTTAAAGTTTAATTGAGGTTTTAATATATGCTGGTGTTTTGTGGAATGCAAAGATAGGAAGGCATCATTCCCCCTATAGTTTAATCAGAGAGATAAATGTATACACTTAACCTAAAATTCAACTTTAAGATCCTTCAAGAAAGACCAAAATAAGATTAGTTCATACCTACATCAAAACTTTAAATGTTCTGTGTTCCGGATGCTGACATTGAAATGGTTCCATTAGGCCAATGTCTAGATTTTGAACATTTCTAAAATATAGGACTCTGCTAATTCACTGTTCCCAACAACTCTGTTACACAGAACTTCTGTAGCACAGGAAAGGTACTTAGTCATTATTTTAGTGACTTGTAGAGATGAACTGTAGGGAAGACTACAAGGAAGTCTAACTGAACAGTTTTCACCCAATAGACATATTTTGAGGTAAACATAAGAGCATTTATTTTTCTGAACTTTTTATTTAGAAACTTCAAGTATACTTTGAAGGCTGGTTCAAGGGGCGCATGGGTGGCTCAGTTGGTTAGGCGTCCAACCCTGGCTCTGGTCATAGCTATGGGTTTGAGCCCAGTGTCACAGCTCAGAGCCTGAAGCCTGCTTCTGTCTCTCTCTGCCCCTCCCGCATGCATGCACTCTCTCTCTCTCTCTCTATCTCTCTCTCTCTCTCTCTCTCTCTCTCTTCCCCCTCCTCTCAAAAATAAACATTAAAAAAAGAATCAGTACACACACTGTACCTAGATGCAACAGTTGTTAACATTTGCTGCCTTTGCCTTCTCTTCCTCCTTCACCTCCTGTGTTGCTGGTGAACCATTTGAAAGCAAGTTGCAGACCTCAAGACGTTTGTCCCCTAAATATTTTGGCATAAATATTTTTTTGGTTGCACAGGACTTCTACATTTTAAAACCACATTTCCAATTTAAGAAAAAACAGAACTAGTATAAGCCACTTATGGATTAAATACAATCTAAATTTGAGGGTTGGCATGAGAAGTTTGAGCTTGAAATGGTCCTGGGAGGTCCAGAGGACTTGGCAAGGCTGAGAAGGGCAAGGAGGGGCTGTGCATGTTAATGTGGCAGCAAGGTGCCTGGGGCATTGATGGAGGCATTTCAGTCTTTCTTGCCCTTGGGAAATAATGTGTTATGAATGAAAAGGGTGGAATTTTCAGGGCAAGAATAAAAAGCCTTATCTTTTCTGGGGAACAAAAGAAGGCAAACATCCTCCCAAAGATGGTTTGAGACCTAAAACCCTGTTAGGAAAGTCAAGCAAAGGAATTTTAAAGAGAGAGGTGGTAAATTTCAAGTCTATTCAGATCTCCTTTGTTTTGGTGTTTCCAGAGTTGGAAAGATACAACTTCTAGAAGATTGATTTTTAAATAAAATGCTAATGGAAACAAAGAAAGAGTAGAATTCCATTTACTCTTTTGGATTCACTTTTTACATAAAAAGCCAATATAACAGGATCCTCCCAAGTTAGCAATTGTGTTCATTATGTTGTAGAACCACTTCAGTAATCCATTGTTGCTATTAAATATGGACTATAAAGAAACAAAGTAAATATACATCTGATTCTTTGCTTTGTTTCTCTTATTTCTACTAATCAGGTTTTTATAATAACTGTCTCTTTTACCAGGAATTTTTATGTGGAGAGAAGCATCTGGATCAGCTAATTCAAAGACTACTTCATTCAGCAGACGAAGAAGCCATTACTGAATTTTTGGATGAAAACCTTAAATCAGCAAAATAAATGCTGATTTATTATAGATTCTTCTATAAATGAAACAGACCTATCTCAAGAAGCAGCTGTTCATAAAGTGCAGCTAAAATTACACAGTACGTACAAATATATTTTTTAATGAATTAAGTCACATTTCTTCACCTAAGAATTTATAAAATACAGTCCCAACTCTTCAAGCAGAAAACAAGCATGCAATGAACATTGCAAAAAACAAAAAAATAAGCATGTATTTTTGAAAAGAGAAATAAAGTATTGGGAATTGATTATGTAATATAGGTCACTTCTTCTCTTTTATATGCCTTTTATTTTTTGAGAGAGAGAGAGAGAGGACGTGCAAGTTGGGGAGAGGGGCAGAGAGAGAGGGACAAAGAATCTCAAACAGGCTCCATGCATGAACTGGGGCTCGATCTCATGACCCCGGGATCATAACCTGAGCCAAAACTAAGACTTGGACGCTCAACCAGCTGAGCCACCCAGGCACCCCCAAACATGCCTTTTTTTTAACCATCTATAAATTAAACACATTTTCCATTTATTACTTCAGGATTTTACCACATGGTAAAATTTAGTGATACAAGATTTATAAACTTCTTTGTAAACCCCTATTTAAAGAAAAAGTATTATTAACCATGTTAAAATTAGGCTTTAAACTGCTACTTTTATTTTTTTATTTTCGCTCTTTAAACTAATTTTTCTTAGTTTTTTTTTTAATATTGGTTTATTTTTGAGAGAGAGAGAGAGAGAGAGAGAGAGAGAGACAAAGTGTGAGCAGGGGAGGGGCAGAGAGAGAGAGGAAGACACAGAATCAGGAGCAGGCTCCAGGCTCCGAGCTGTCAGCACAAAGCCCAACGCGGGGCTCGAACCCACAAACCACGAGATCATGACCTGAGCCAAAGTTGGACACTTAACTGACTGAGCCACCCAGGCGCCCCAACCTGCTACTTTTAAATAAAAAATAAATATTGTGAAGAATATGAGTCAAAAATAATGATTTTAGAGCTCTTTGAGAGCAGAACAAATTCTCTACTGTATAAACTACACGCCAATATTTAAAGTGAACTCTCTGCTTGGCTTTTATTTCTTATTTCACTTTGGCTTAATTTATAAGCATCAACAGATGTGGTGTAATGTGTGTAATTCTCTATGCCTGGTTTTGTGCAGTGATACATACAAAACCCCATCCTTACCTTACGGAGCTTCCAGTTGAGTGACAAAGCCAAAATATAAACGGTCGACTCTAATACAGAGTGGCATGATATATTTAGTAGTTGTGCTCAGGAAGTTTCTTGAGTTCAAAAGAGAAGGGTTATTATTTTAGACATTCCTCAGAGGGAAAGACTAGCTAAAATAGAGTTTTAAGACCAATGGAATTAGGAGGTGAAATTTTTTTCAGTGAAATTTTTTTCTCAGTTTTTCACTTTGAAACTTTTCAAGCACATGGAAAAGTTTTTAAAATACTTTTTAGGGGCGCCTGGGTGGCGCAGTCGGTTAAGCGTCCGACTTCAGCCAGGTCACGATCTCGCCGTCCGTGAGTTCGAGCCCCGCGTCAGGCTCTGGGCTGATGGCTCAGAGCCTGGAGCCTGTTTCCGATTCTGTGTCTCCCTCTCTCTGCCCCTCCCCCGTTCATGCTCTGTCTCTCTCTGTCCCAAAAATAATAAACGTTGAAAAAAAAAATTTAAAAAAAAATACTTTTTAAAAAATAGTGCAACGAACAGTATATACTCTAGTGTCCTACTATTACCCTTTTGCCATGGTTGTTTTTTTCTCTCTATATACACATATACATACCTGTGGTGGTTATTGGACCATTTAAAAGTTAGTTGCAGACTCTGTAATACTACGCCAAACTATCTCAGCTTGTCCTGAGAATAAGGACATTCTCCTACAAAATCATAACTCCATTATTATACTTAGTTATGTAATAATAATTAATAATGACTGTATAATATAGTTTAATATCTATCACATGTTAAAATTTCTTCAATTATCCCTAAAATGTCTTTCTAGCTGTTTTCTGTTAGTTTTGTACAATCCAGGATCCAGTCAAGATTCACACATTGTATTTGGTTGTATCTCTTTAGTGTTTGGATTAATCCCCCAACCTTTTTTCCCACATGACATTGACCTTTTAAAGAATCCCACAAGGTTGTTTTGTAGAATGACCTACATCCAGGTTTGTCTGGCTGCTTCCTCGAGCTATTGGTAACTTTTATCCATCCCTTCAATGTACTATGAAGTAATATTAAGTCTAAAAATTAATTAAATTTAGTAAACACATTTGACAAGGCTACTTCATGGGTAATGTTGTGAAATTCAGTGTATTGTGCCAGGAAGTTCTATGGAGTTATACTTTGGCATTATATAAACATTTCATTCCTTGGGGCGCTTGGATGGCTCAGTCAGTTAAGCGTCCAGCTTCAGCTCAAGTCATGATCTCATGGTTCGTGGGTTTGAGCCCCATGTCGGGCTCTGTGCTGACTGCGCGGAGCCTGGAGCCTGGTTCAGATTCTGTCTCTGTCTCTCTCTGCCCCTTCCCTGCTCGCACTCTGTCTCTCTCTGCCTCTCAACACTAAGTAAATGTTTAAAAAAAACCCAAACATTTCAGGGGCGCCTGGGTGGCTCAGTTGGTTAAGCGTCCGACTTCGGCTCAGGTCATGATCTCGTGGTCCGTGAGTTCGAGCCCCGCGTCGGGCTCTGTGCTGACCGCTCAGAGCCTGGAGCCTGTTTCCGATTCTGTGTCTCCCTCTCTCTCTGCCCCTCCCCCGTTCATGCTCTGTCTCTCTCTGTCTCAAAAATAAATAAACGTTAAAAAAATTAAAAAAAAAAACAAAAACCATTTCATTCTTCATTTAGTGTTAGGCAGCTTCTGAGATGACCCCAGTGATCTCATTCTTGGCCTTCGTACACTTTTGTAATCTGTTCCCCTTGAACATGAACTGGATTTGTTGACTGTCTTCTAACAAATAAAATGTATAGAAGTGGTAGGATTGTCACTTCCAATATTGGGTTGTAAAGAGACCTGCCTCTGGTTCAGGCTCTCTGGCTCTGCCTCTCTTTCTGGCCACGCACACTGTTGCTGGGTAGATTGGGGAGACCCTGGGGCCCTGAGACCTCCACCCAGCCTGTCTCCAGAATGTCACCAGAGGCTCTTGGCCTCATCACAAGAAAGAATCCAAGACCAGACACAACAGTTGAACAGTGCAAGTAGGAAAGTTTATGAAAGTGAGAGTACACTCAGGTGAGCTCAAACGAAAGCTGGTGGAATATTTATTACCTGGGGAGGCGATTTGTGGGGGAGCAGGTTTTTGTGCGTTTTCTCCCTTACTTGGTCAAGGTTTCTGGTCTTCCTGGTCTTGGGCCTCTCTGGTTTGATCCAGCTTCTTGTGGCTTTGTTTCTGGAGTGCTGCCAGGACAGGTCTCTACTTTCCCCGGGAGCTGGCCATGACTCCCCTTTTGCTGGCCTACAGGCATTCTGTTAAAACCTAACTAACTTCCTACTCTAACAACACAGGCGGAAGCAAGGGGATGTGAGCAGCTCTATAGAATAGCCTGCGCTGTGTGACAGAACTGAGGACCATGTTCCAACAGCTCTCAAGAAATTAAAGTCTGCCTCCTAGCACATGTATGAGCTTGGAAGCAGATCATTCAGCCCGAGAGGTGTCTTGAAATGACTGGTCCTGGTCAGCAGCTTCACTACAATTTCATGAGACCCTTGAGCCAGAGGCACACCACTGAGCTGCTCAAGGATACCTGATTCTTAGAAATTGAGTAAATTAATGTTGTTTTTAGCTGCTAATTTGGGCGTAATTTCTTACACTAAAATATGTAACTAATACACCCAATGACCTTTCATCTCATTGATTTAATATCAGTTAATGATGCTTGCTTTGCCTGAATCAGCTGTTCCACTGGGAGTTACAAAATGGTGATGTTCTCATTCTTTCTACATTAATAGCTGGCATTCTTTAAAGAAAGCTTTCTTTTGTTTTTCCTCTCACTTTCTCTGAGTTGAGAGATAATTTAATCCTATTTGAATCAGTATCATTATTATCTCCCTAGGAGTAGGCATTGCCCTCTAAAATAATTGATGTCTCTGGAGAATCTGATTTAACTTGAAATAATGTTCAATTACATAGGGAGTTTCAGGGTAAAGGTTAGAAACACAGAAACTAAATTTTGTTGTCACGTATTTTACATAACAGAAACATTTATCCAAGAAAATGTAAATATTAAAACATTGTGTGAATCAAAGCAAAATGAACATAGTCTAATAAGCTATGCTATGTCAAGTGTTAGATTACGTCATTTTCATAATTCTTTTTTTCCCAGAAGAAAACCACTAAATACATAAACCCCAAAACATGATTTCTGCAAAACTTCACTAAGAAAGTGAAAAATTATAAGAGGGAAAGCAGTAGAAAAGGGTATTGATTTGTTACGATTTATTCATTTGGTGATCAGTGTTAACACTCTATACATGCCAAGGAAGGGTGGGCTCTAAGAGGGAATGAGGGCAAAAGGAAAAGTGCTTCTTCAGCCAAAGGCTGAAGAGGCTCCACCTTCCTGGAAGGAAGCCCAGACCTTAGCACCACCAAGGTCTTTGCCCTTCCCTCGTCCTCCAGCTCTGGCTTTTCCTTCAAGCACACACTTTATTTGGAGGGAAAAAATCAAAAGTTGGAGCTATGAACCTATTAAAATCTTGGATGCTCTTTTTTTCCAAACCTCTATATATGTACAAATCACTTCGGGATCTTGCCATGATGTAGATTTTAATTCAGAAGGTCTAGGGCCTGTCGTTCTGCATTTCCACAATTCATTTCATTTCCACAAGGTCCCAGGTCATGGCAGGTACTACAGACTAACAAACACCACTTGGAATAGCAAAAATCTAGGATCTCTATTATTCAGTGAGTACTTTCAGTTGTCATACATACTATTTTTGGACAATGAGTTTCAATTAAACCTGTAATCCTGCTTCATTCAGATAGACTGATGAGCCTCTCACACTATGAAGATAAACTTGACATCTTTTAATTGTTAGTAGAAAAATGTTAGGAATCAACTAATAAGCCAATAATAAATCAGGGTTCTTTGTAAAAAAAAAAAAAAAAATCTGGAAAGCCAAAGTTTATTGCCTCATACGCACAATACCTTTAGAATACCAAGGAATAACAAACTTTATTTAAAAAATAAACTTAGGGGCCCCTGGGTGGCTTAGTCGGTTGAGTGTCCGACTTCGGCTCAGGTCATGATCTCACAGTTCGTGGGTTCAAGCCCTGCGTCGGGCTCTTGCTGACAGCTTAGAGCCTGGAGCCTGTTTCAGATTCTGTGTCTCCCTCTCTCTCTCTGACCCTCCCCTGTTCATGCTCTGTCTCTCTCTGTCTCAAAAATAAATAAACGTGAAAAAAAATTTTTTTAAATAAACTTAGGGGTGGCTGGGTGTCTTGATGGGTTAAGTGTCAGACTTTTGATTTCGGCTCAGGTCATGATCTCCATTCATGGGATCGAGCCCTGTATTGGGCTCCACACTTATAGCACAGAGCCTGCTTGCGATTCTTTCTCTCCCTCTTCTCTCTGCTCCTCCCCCGCTCACACACGCACTCTGTCTCTCAAAGTAAAGAAACTTTAAAAAATAATACATAGGGGCACCTGTGTGGCTCAGCTAGTTAATCATCCAACTTTGGCTCAGTCATGATCTCACTGTTCATGGGCTCAAACCCTGCATCCAGCTCTGTGCTGACAGCTCAGAGCCTGGAGCCTGCTTCAGATTCTGTCTCTCCCTCTCTTTCTCTCCCCCTCCCCTGCTTGTGTGCTCTCTCTCTCTCAAAAATAAATAATTAAACATTTTTAAAAAATAAATAATAAGTAAATAAACTTAGAGATATTTTTCCTCTTTTTTAAAAGTCTATTTTGTTTGTTTTGACGCGGGGCTTGATCCCATGAACCGGGAGATCATGACTTGAGCCAAAATGCAGAGTCAGATGCTTAACCAACTGAGCTACCCAGGTGCCCCAACTTAGAAATATTTTTAATTGACTTTGAAATTGAGTCAAGGGATCTAAAATCAGCAAACTACTACAAACAGTCAAAAAATTAAAAGACATGGTCTTTAAAAGCATATTCTTGTGTTGGTGGTCAATAATGATTAGAAGGATGTGGAGGTGGGTGCTTCCAGGTTGCTGGCAATGTTTTATTTCTTAAGCTGAGTAGGGTTACACAGGTGTATTCATTTTGGAACGAAAACTGGGAGGAAGGGGTTCCAGAAAGCAGAGTACTCAAATACATGGAAACCAGTCCACAGAAACAATTTCCAGAAGTCCATGAGACATACACGCATGCACATACACACAAAGTCAATCAGGAGCAACATTCAGAGGGAAAGGTGAGAGGCGTTGCCCCAGGGAAGAGGATGTCTGATCTGTAAGAAAGGAATGTTGAAGTCACCCAGAAATGGAAATGGTGGCAGTACCAGTGAGACACTTCAGCCTCCTCAGAAGAAAAGGGCCAGAGTAGATCCTGCTGTTGGAAACATTCATGAGCAGAGTTGAAGTTAAACATTTCTGAAGAACTAGGGGATCCTGGGTGGCTCAGTCCGTTAAGTATTCGACTTCCGCTCAGGTCACAATCTCAAAGTTCATGAGTTCGAGCCCCGCATCGGTCTCTGTGCTGACAGCTCAGAGCCTGGGGCCTGCTTTGGATTCTGTGTCTCTCTCTCGGCCCCTCCCCTACTCATGCTGTGTCTCTGTTTCTCAAAAATAAATAAATGTTGGGAAAAAAAAAACATTTCTGAAGAAATAAAACCACGATTGTTGATGACTGAGGTGTAATTGCCAAGCAAAAACAGTTCTTTTATCTTCCTGTCAAGAAGAATATGGAGTCCATTGTAAAGGATTATGCAAATTATAAGAAATCTTGAGGAAACACAGAAAATAAAGGACTTTATTTTAGTGCTGTTAATGAAGTTGTGGCAGGAATTTAAAAAATAAAGTCTTTAAATAAATAGATAAAATGGGTATACCAATTTATATTCCTATGATGAGTATATGAAGGTTCCAAAGAGAACCTACCAACACCCTGTCTCTATCATCACCAACATTAGCATTTTTGACCTTTTTAAAGTTTAGCCATTCTCATGGGTATGCAGTGTTTTCTCATGAATTTAATTTGCATACATCTGAGAATGAATGACAATGAGCAGCTTTTTCATGTTTTTATTGACCACTGATTTGTGAATTACAGATAGATATATATATAGATTTAGATATAGATATATATGTAGCTTTCGCCTATCAAAAGCAGTGAAAAAAAAGGGCAAGCATAGCAATATATGACTTACCTTTTTTTTTCACTGCTTTTGATAGGCAAAAGCTTGTAATTTTGTCAAAGTTTATTTTACCATTTTTTTTTTTATGATTGGTGTTTCTTGTGTCCTAAAATCTTTGCATACCTCAGAGTCAGATTTTTTTTTTTTTTTACATTGTGCACCAGTTGTTCAGCACCATTTGTTGAACAGACTTTCCTCTCCCCATTGAATTGCTGGGTTTCTAAAACCCATTAGAAACCAATGCTGGGTTTCTAAAATTTTAAATTCAGTACCTCAGTTGCATTAGCCACATTTCAAGTACTCAGGAGCTATCCGTGGCTTCTGGCTACCTTATCAGTTAGCACAGACATGAAATGTTTGCAGCATCACGACCTACTGTGGCAGCACTGCTCTAGAATTTCGGGCACAGTACCAACTAAATACTTTGGATTCTGTAAAAGGTCATCTAAACCAACTAACAAAGAGCAGATATAAGGAAGTTAAAAATCAATCACTGAACTGATACACAGTACCTAACAGTCAAATTCAAAGAAAGAAAGTAGAATGGTGGTTGCCAGGGGTTTGGGAGAAGGGGGAAAGGCGAGTTACTGTGAATGGGGACAAGCTTCAGTTCTGCAAAGTGGAAATAGTTCTGGAGATGGATGGTGGTGATGGTTGCAAAACAACGTGAATGTACTTACTGTCAAAGAAATGTACTCTTAAAGAATTGTTTCAAACGGTAACTAATGCATATTTTACCAATATAAAAAAATTGTAAATTGCTTTTTCCCCCAGCTGTTTTAGGGCAGGGGAGAAGCAATCAGTGTTACTAATGAGCTAATTCTCTCAAATGTATCAGAGGGATACCCAACAAAGGTACAGGAGCCCAGAGCCCTGGAGTATTTCCAGTAGAAGCTCTTCAGCTAATAGGAAAAGAGAGCAAAACAATTGTTATTCTCCTGCTATGTGTTATCCACCTATCAATGTAATACTAAAGATTTCATTAAGTTGTGGGAACACATGACAAGCTAGCGGCAAAAGCAACACACTTTTTAAGTAAAACTTCTCTAAAACAGAACAAATCCCAATCTTTAAGCACTTGATTTTGACAATTTAATAATATTAGTCAATACATATATAAAACACTTTTGTAAAGCATAGACTGAACTATATTAATTCAAAATATTAGGACATGTACGAATAGGAAGCTCTGAGGATCTTGTGCTTTAGTACAATACAAGGTCTGTTTAAATATTTTATTTTAAAATTCTCGTTTAAACTCCTTAATAAAGACAATTCCATAATCTTCAACCGATTTGTGGAAATGAAAGGAGCAGTATTAGACGACTTGAAAACACTAATATTAAGAACTTTATGAAAATAATCTTGCTCCCCAGGAGGAAGTATTTGGTGAGATAACCCACCTCTTTATGTGCCTGCTTTGCATTTTTGAGGCCACCTGTATGCGATCCTCTAGGACCTCATCTTTGAGACATCCTAATGAACCTACGGATATCGTTTAGTATTGAAAATATTGTAATAACCTTCGGAACCTTTCAAAAGAAGCGACACTAAGAACTGGAAGTTTTCTTGCAGAAATTGCTCACGGTTTCACATGCGGGTACGTTATTTTTTAATAAATTCCAAAAGAAAGGCTAACAATGATTGAATCTATATTCTAGGTACGGTGTTCAGCATGTAATTATTCTAATCAACAAATATGTATTGACGCGTCCTATGCAATTTATCTCCTTTCACTCCAATCCTATGAAAACTATTATCCCCATTTTATAAAGACGAAAAAGTTCTCAGAGAGTAGTCACATGAGGAATACTAAAACAGAGATCTTGCCCTGGAACTTCAAAGCCAATTCTCCAAACCAACAAACCCAGAAGAATTAACGCTTTCAAATTCTGTTAACTAAAACAGTCCGCCCTAAGAAACCTCGCGATATCACTCAAACTACTACTCCCAACATGCACAGCGGCTTCGGTCCGTCCTCCTATCCCCTTGATTTTGGAGGGCCCCAGCGTGCCTCGAGGCACGAAAGGCAGCCTGGGGGTTGTAGTTCTCGTGGACGCCTACCGGTATTGCCAGCGCGGCAGTGGCGGCTTTCTCGGTTCGGTCCAGCCGGTCTTGTAAGGTAGCTGAGACGGAGAAAGGGCGCGGAACTGGAAAAGGGTGAGTCAGGCACTGTCTACGCGATAAAGGGAGGCGGCACCGCGGCGTAGAGCTGAGTTAAGTAAGTGCGGCCCCTGCTTATTCAGGGACGCCGCGATCTAGCGCCAGCGAGAAGAGGGCGAGGAGGAGCCAGAGCCCGGTCCTTGCACCCATTCTCGCCCTCGCACCCCGCCGCCATCTCCATCATGCAGTCCCGGGAAGAAGCTCCGCGCTCTCGCCGCCTGGCCAGTCCCCGCGGCGGGAGGAGGCCCAAGAGGATTTCCAAGCCTTCAGTTTCGGCTTTTTTCACGGGCCCGGAGGAGCTGAAGGACACGGCTCATTCTGCAGCTCTGCTGGCACAGCTGAAGTCTTTCTACGACGCGCGGCTGTTATGTGATGTGACCATCGAGGTGGTGACACCTGGCAGCGGGCCTG